TGCACCGTAGGAATTCATCATTGGAACCGAATCTACAGCTCCCATTTGAGTATAGTTGGGTGTCCACAACGGGCGTCTTCAACGTGGCGAAATTGCGGAGGCGGTGCGGTACCACCACACATTGGGAGAATTTGCATCGCTCTTCTTTCCTTGAAGGGAAATGTGATCGGATCGATCTGTCCCGTCGATTTGTCGGATATCTCGACATCGTGGTGACCGGATATGCAGCTCATCGAGTGGATTGACATCCTGCAGCCGAACCGTTGAATATGGAAAGAAGGGACCCGGGAAAAAAAATCAGTAAAGAAAGGGAAAAGAATTGAATTTGGCCTCGCTCTAATTCTACTTCGCACGGAGCCTGCGAGGGCTATAGCCTATCCTTGCCTGATGATCCCATTCACTTTGAATTTGTGGCCCTTGCACACCTTAAGATGTCAATGTAAGCGGAAGTTAACCAAAATGGAGACCAGCAAATATTGAAATCAATTATCAGCGGGACTTGACTCTGATGATCTAATTTTACCGAGGGTACCGTAACAGTTGAACATACGACGATCTCACCACGATAAGAGAAAATATCATAGGTATCCTGTTTCTCGCCTCATGTTTGATGATGCAGGAAAATCGGACATACATACTACGTACAGCCACCCAGCCGCCACGATCGACAGGGCACTAACAATGGATTGCCTCTCCGCTGGACCCTGAAGCTAGGGCCATTCTCGGAAGGCGGAAGAAAAGACGAGCTGGGAATACTATATGTAATGTACGTACGAGCAGCCGGGGTAGCCGCTTGTAAGGATAAGGTCGCAGTGCAGAGTATGATGATACGGTTTCGTAGGATTTGTTCTCCCTCGCACGGGGGAAGCATCGCACGGATGCTCGTGGGGCGCGGGTGATACTTGATTGACTTTAGCGCTGGCCAGCCCCCCAATCAGCGGACAGAACCCTTGCATAGTCAGGCCACCAAGTCAGGTGAGATGCAAGGTGTGCTATTGTTAGCTCGGGAGCTGCCCGTTCTTGTCCTGTCCGGCTGCCCAGGTGCCAACTGTGTGGTTGAAGATGAGCTACAATAGACTAGGTTTACGCCTTGGCTCGAATGGGAAGTATCCGGGGTCTGCAACTGCGAGAATGGGGAGCTGTGTAGCGAAATAAAATCCCGAGACCATGAGGTCAATCGTTTGATAGGATTGCCTTATGAGTGATGAGTTGGAGGGGGATGGGAGTGAGGTAGGAGTATGACCCAACCTCCCGCAGCCACCTCGTGTGCTGGTGACTCGAGGGGATGGTATACAGTACGCGTGCGCGTGCGAAACGCGCTGCAGGTCAACTTGTCCATACGTACATACACATACACATACACATACACACATACACACGTCGGTAATCAATGACACACGCACACGAGGGTATCTGGTGCAGAAGTGACCAAGGCGGCCGACCTGGAGACAAGGGGCAGCCAATGGAGGGGCTTAGGGAGATCCGCGGTGGATCCGAGCATCTCTGGAGAAGAGGTTGGCACGAAGCAGGGTCTTTGCTCCGTAGGGATGGATGGGAGGGAGAGGGGCTCTCCTTCACACCTCATCTAGCACGGGTTAACCCTTTGGATCGACAGCCAGCAAGGGTTCGAGGTGGCTCGAGGGACGCAACTTTAGTTCTGACGGACATCGTACATTATGTAGGATGCACGTATAAGTCGTACTCCGTACAGAGGATGTACTGTAGGGGTCATCGTGTTTGCGACCGAATGAGGTTGGAGAAAGTGGCTGGGTTAGTATCCCGCCATCCTCAGATCAGTTAGGGCGTAAGCTAATTATACAACACCATACCCTCGGAAATAGAAACCTAGCGTGAGCCAAGCCTTTTGATTGGCAGTTGAAACAACGAGAAAAAATCGTCGGAAGCCGATGACCGAATTGATTGGATCTGGGGAGAGGTTTGTGGTGCTGACTTGATTTCCAAGGTGATGGTGGATGGGATGGGATGGGATGGATGGGAGGCTGTGCTTGAATTTGCCCGCCCCTTCCCTTCTCTTTCCTTTCCTTTCTGCTTCCTTCGTACTTACGGAGTCCTGCGGATACTATACGATTGAATTGCCGTGTCCGTGGTTCTCTTCTCCCTGCAGCCTTCTTTTTTTTCTCTTCTTCCCACATGCCCTTGTTAACTAAAGGTCCACTTTTTTTTTCTTTTTTTTTTTTTTCGTTTTCTTGTGCATACGGCTCTGGCCGCCAAGTACTTAGTGTACCGTCATTAAATCTTCTACATGTACAATTGATCCATGCTTTTTTTTTTCTTGTGGATTATGGACCCAAGGTTAATAGATATGAATAACTAAAAAAAATCCATATTTGACAAAAAAGAATAGAGAATGAAGCAAATCGTCCGATCATTTAGTCCTTTGGATCTGCCCGGTCGGACACTTCGGAAGATCACAACGGGCGGTGATGAGTGGCCTCCGATGACTCCCCACTGTTGTACATACGCCAGGATGACTTCCCGACAGGAAAGCGTGCCGTTGTACTGATGTGGTGTACATATGTAATGGAGTACAGATGTACATGGACACATGTACACATGTGTGGTATGTACTCCATACACATGTATGTACAATATGTACAATAATACCCAAACCAACCCCCTCCTCCTGCCCCCCCCCCCTCCCTTCCTGGGGAGGAGGTTAGGTCAGGTCATCCAGGGTCATCACCACTCTCAACTGGGACTCGATCGTAAACTATAATAGATACACACCCTCGCAGCCAATTATTGAGTGAGTTGTTGCTTTCCCCGAGACCCTGGACCGTGTCACGGCTCTATTTCTTTCCGGAACCAGACGAATACGATGATGATGCCAAGTTTCTTGACCCCCAGTTCCCTCGACATCGGTTGCTCTGTGCATCCCCCGCCACGATTGCCCACTAGTCTCTTAGTCTGACTGCTTGGAGCTAAAGGGTGGACACCCCGAGGTCAGAAAATAAATTCCACAAAAATGGGATTTTTGTTCCATCCGAAATGCCCACTTTTTATTTTTTATTTTTATTTTCTCGATTTTTCCTTTTCCAAAAGGGTAAAAGCGTAGAGGAGGACTTTTGTCTCCACTGCTCGCAGGCCCTATACAGTTTAGGCCCAAGTTGCACTCTGACCAGGGCTGCTCTGACTGCTAATAATAATTCACTCTCACATCGTATAATGTACCCTCGTCGCTTTTAACCCTTCGGATTCCTTGCTTCGATCTTGATCTTCCCTTCCCCTCTTCCTTCTCCTCCCTTCCTCTTATTATTTTCCTTCCCCAAGGCTCGTTGTTATTATGACACCTTGAAAGGTTCCACATTCGCTCAATACACACCCACGTTCGCTCATACGCTCGCTTTTCGCTGCTACGAGAACCACGTTCGCTACGCTAACAGAAAACAAAAAAAGGAATACCTCTTTTGGTCTGGAAAAAGAAGATAAGGGGATTATCCTTATTTGAACTATTGATCTACTACCGAAACGACAAAAAACCCCATTAAGGAAAACACCCAGTTATATTCCGAATATTCTTAATATTTAATTATCGCAACGCCTTGCGCCTATTCGCTGGACGCACCTTTGATTTACAATATTTCCCGCGACAGTCGAACTGCAGGGAAAGATATCAAGTGGGGGAGGACGCAGGAATCGGAGATTGTAATTGACAATCGCCTGTCGTTTGCGCATCTCATCTCGACCTCATCGTGTCCGTAGGCATCCGTTTGTCCCGCACCCGCGACAATTTGATCGGACTACTACCATCGCCAACGTTGATTGTGATCGCCCGTCTTATTTTCATTTGAATTTCGAATCTAGAAAAGCATATGTTCTAGAGTCATCCATCGCCGCCATCAAATCTCCCAGTTCACTCGCTACTGGGCTTTTGTTGTCTCGGCTGAAAGCACCACCTCCCGTGTCTCACTATACACGGCGCAAAGAGCATCAACTATCAGCTTAAGGTTGGCACCCCACTCCCCCTTCGCCCACGGTCTCAGTCCCCTCCTCGTGCCTTGCATTCCTTCCTCTTCGGGCGTGTCTGTCGCATCTCCTTGCAGTCAAAGGTCGTGCCCTTTGACCTACGGGAGTTCCGGGAGATGACGAGCGTCGTCGAGCCGCCGGACCATCTTCCCCGTATCCATAATCACCCGGGAGTAGCTGTTTGTTATTGACATTGGACTCTCTCATCAGGTCTTTTCCCATTTGCAAAACTTGCATAATAGGAGACATCCACGGCAGATCGGTCTCAGTTCTCTCTTCTTGACATATCCCGTGAGTCTCTATTACTGGTCTATGCACCGATCCGGTTTCCCCTCCCTTCCCTCTATTACAGAACTTGGGGCTTGAAGAAAATCAAAACCAAGAAAAGGAAAAGAGAGTTCATGCTCATTATTGGAGTAGTTCGCCCCTTCGCTTGAGAAAGAATCATTTGGCACCCAATCCGCTTGAAGCCTTCCCGAAACCTATACGGCACAGGAACAGAAAGAAAGCAAAACCTCACCAGTCCGCGTGTCTCTCGTCAGGATTTCCCTGAAAAATCATTCACACGACTCCCGTCCAATCTCCGCGTCCCTTTCGACCTAAATAGCGGTGGCATTTGAACTTGCCTCCCTCTGACACGACAGGTTCCATCCCCTAGGGCTTTATGAACCATTGGGCACTAGCATTTCGTGATTTGAGTCTCTATCTGCAGCCAGCCTTCCTCTAGTTTCAGGCTTAGTGTACTCCCAATCTTGGATGGTGATTCGAGGCACTTCTCTGTGAGACTGACAGCAATCTTTCATCTCGTCGCTCGTTCCTGTCTCGGAGAGCCCCCTTTCTCGTGTACGCGCGTGGCGACGTACTATCGTTTGGAAGATAAATTCCCAGTCATTCGCTTCTCCAGCGGTTCGGTCTTGTTGCAGTCGCTGCAACATCTTCAAGCTGGCTTACTCGAAGACACACGGTGTTTTGGTGAGATTCCCCAGCTACCTCCTGTTTCGCCTTTCTTCTGGATGCCCGCATGTTTTGCCTTTTTCTTCCAATCCCCGCTCAGTCTTCTGTTTGAATTTGAATCCTCCGCCCTCCTGACTTTCCGCATTCTGCGAGAACCTCCTCGGCTGACTCTTTATCTTTCTTCCTTGTGTTTTCAGTTCGACCCGGATTTCCAAACGCCTCTAATTTTAGGCGAGACGTTGGATCTCTCGGACTCTGAGGAGACACAGTTCGTCGGTGCGTTTTCAGACGGCCTGTGGGCCAAGTCTGAGCCCTTTCTGTCTATGTCTAATTACCAGAAGCCCGCTGCTGGCGCCGTACTTGGTAAGTCGCCCCACTATCTGCATCAAACTCCCGTGTCAGTGATACTGAGACTGCTCGTACATAGACTACGCTTCAACACGGTCTCTGCATGATGCTGGTTCATATTCGGCCTATGGCCAGTCCCCATACGTGACAGCTTCCCTTGTTCCCTCACCAATGGGTGACCAGGCCAGCCAAGCTTCCGACTGTGTTCCTTATCTACAGGGTAACGAATATGCCAGTTCGTACGACGAAGCTCCTTCTCCTATAATGGCTACAGGATCTCGACCTCTGCCTGAGATCATTAGCTATCGTCCTCAACGTGGCTCCGAGGGTACAAGGGTGACGGTTTATATCCAGTCGCCTTTTGATTTGCACAGCTCCAATTATGGTAGTCTGTATTTGATTTTTGGCTCCAAGCGCTGCGAATGTATTCCCACATTCTGCGGATTCCAGGGCTCTGCTTTTCAGTACTGCCTCTCGGTGGAGGCTCCTCAATTTATGTCGACTGCGTCGCCTTCTTTTCGCGGTTCCCATTCAGCTTGTCCTGGAGACCCAGGGTGACTGCCAACCTACTACACTCCAAGTTGGTGTTTACACTTACGAGCATGTTCCTCACGCTTCTCCCGTCGCGGATTCTCGCAAGAGGAAGCTGTCAACCTACTCAGATAACCCTATCTCCGCGCCTGCCAAGCGACCAGCCCCTGGACCCGTTGTGATGCCCAAGATTGAGCCGCAAGATAGCTACTCCTACCGCGATAACCGCTCCGGATCCTTCTCGCCCTATCTGCAACCTCTGCCGGCTATGTCTGGATTCGTCACCCCATTTCATGCCGCCTCCTCTCCTCGCACCGCATCTGGTTGCTACTCAGGCGTGTCTGTTGCTCCCCAGTCGGCGGCAATCCGTGCTCCTTCTCCCCTGACACCTGGCTGGAGCCCCTCCTACTTGGCTGTCTCTGGTGATGGTAGGGCTCCTGGCATGTCCGTGGTCCACGGCATGGCTCAGCACAGAGGACCTTCGCCTATGCGCTCCTCCAACCCGACCCTTATCCGTACCTCCACCCTACAGCAAGCCAACGGCCTCACTCAAAACCAGTCATTCAATCCTTACGCAATCTACCCTACCAAGGCCATTCTCAAGCTCAGTGGCGATCTGGATGGCATGGCTGAGGGCTGGAGCAAAGATGAGCAGGTTGTTCAGCGCCGTCTCGTGGAGTTTACCCGGACGCAGACTGGAAGCACGATTCACGCTGATTTCAAGCCTGTTGCTCCTGAGAAGCGCTCGCCAAACAGCATTTGCATCAGCTGCATTAGCTGGGATGGAAAGGATGAGTGCTTCGTTACAAGCGTGGATACTATCTACTTGCTTGAGTCGCTCGTCGGGGTTCGTTTCACCGTTGAGGAGAAGAATCGAATTCGCCGAAATCTGGAAGGCTTCCGCCCTCTTACAGTGTCCAAGGCCAAGCAAGACAGCGAAGAGTTCTTCAAGGTCATCATGGGCTTCCCTAACCCTAAGCCCCGCAACATTGAGAAGGATGTCAAGGTCTTCCCTTGGAAGATTCTGAGCCACGCCCTGAAGAAGATCATCGGGAAATACGTGAGTACTACTGGGCAATCGTCATTTACAATCTTGTATCCTGTACTAACCCTATTTATCTATAGTCTGCTAGTTACTCTTCCACCGCCGGTGCTCTGCCTACACCGATCACAAACTACGCCAGTCATGGCACGGGTTCCGACTCGGGCACCGAACCTCACACCGCTGCTTCCCCCCAATCAGTGTCTGATTCTGGGCCGGCTCATAATTATGCTCACACCATGGGCGCCCCCGTCTACACACAAGCCGATCATCCGTCGCTGACAGCGGCTCCCGATCTACGATCGGTGATGCCTGCTCACAGCCAGCCATACAGTTCAGTGGGCGGATACTCCTATCCAGCGATCTGTCAGCCGCAGCATACCCACAGTCTAGTTGCTCCGACGCCCCGGTCGGCATGGGACATCCATGGACTGGGCTCTGCTGCTCCTGCAAGCACTGCAGCGCCATCCAATGCATGCTACAGCTACATGGATCCCGTGTACCCGCTGCATGACTCGGCGCACGGACAATAAACACGCTGACCGACACGTGTGATCTGATCTGATCTCATCGATTCGATTTTCTGGTTTTGCTTTTTTGCGTCTATTTTTATCTTTCTATTTTTATATTTCCCCTCTTGCTCCGTTGATACACGATTCTCCTTCCTGTCACTCCTTGATAACACGCCCAGAGTCGACATGGGGCCAACGCCGCTTGGAAAGGGGACTTTGTCTCTTGTCTGATCGTGCTCGTCCTATCGTCAACCTATTTACGATTTGAACGTCTCTCCTTACAACATTTCACGCCTGAATGCCCTCGACCCAACCTTTTATCGCATTATTTTGACATGGTTTGACACCTGTTACCTGCATTTTTTAGACGGTGTCTTCTTCATTCCTTTTACTGGGTTGCATCCTCCACCTGCTGGGCATTATGGGCTTTACTCTCCTTTTACACTACACATCTGGGCTACTGTACTATTATTTGGCATAGCATTGGGCGCTGCTGTCATTCCTTTGAGCATTCGCAGGACGGATTTGGGATAGATTTATTTGATTTCGGAAACGGAGGTGAATCGATCAGTCTTAGCGCTGGTCTTTATTCCCTCCTGGCGCAATGGGGAAAATGGAGTCTTGGAGAGAATGGTCGCTTCGGTGATTTTTCCTTCTTGAGACTGCTTTCCCTTGCTCGGAATTTATTGGGAGTTTTGCTGTTTATTTTTGTTGTTTTATTTTTTTCTCTCGTCTTGAGCTGAGGGTTGTTTTGTCTTTTAACTGCATTGTTCTGGCGCTTGGGAAGAGATGGGCTGCCCCTGCGCCCTTTGTATCTTGATTTATCTAGTCTCGTTCGAACTTGTTCATTTTGGAACTGCTCAAATATTTTCTCCCTTCCTCATTGTAATACTTCGATTGTTACCACCCCGCCACCCCACCACTTGCGGGGACGGCACATACCATTAGTATTGTTCAGGCATTTGAGTGCGGACTGGTGTGATTGTTACTCAGCCCACGAGAATTAACACGGGCACACGCATATCAACTTGAACCCAATACTAAAAGAGTATAAAATATACTTCTATTCCCATAGTACTTCATACTTCATACTTCGGCATATCCCACATGGGGCTGCTTACTCAGCGCTATCTTATCGACACACGTGACTCCGCGGGGCGAAATCGGCAGCCGGCGAAAAAGGCCATTGACTCATTCGGCTCGATTGCAATTCCAACTCCATTCTCCATTTGCATTGATTTGTTACAAGTCCCCGGGTTGCACGGTAAATTCCCGATCGCTTCGCCTTCATCCATCCAGGTCACGATTGACCCTTGACCCTACCCTTTCCCCCTCTAATCTCTACTTTATTGCCCCGCGCGGCTTTCGGTCATCTTCAATATGGAGCACATCAAGCAGACATTTGCCAAGTGCAAGGAGCAGAAGCGGGCGGCCCTGGTGGCCTACGTTACCGCCGGATACCCCACCGCAGAGGAGGCTGTTGATATTATGCTGGGTCTGGAGAATGGTGGTGCTGGTATGCAATGATATTCAATTGGCGGGGCATTGATCATTGTGGACTGACCAAATACCTCACAACAATAGACATCATCGAACTTGGAATCCCCTTCACTGACCCCATTGCCGACGGTCCTACTATCCAAAAAGCCAACACCAAGGCCCTCGAGAATGGTGTTACTGTCACATCGGTACTGGAGATGGTCCGCACCGCTCGTGGCCGTGGCTTGAGGACTCCTGTTATGCTTATGGGCTACTATAACCCCGTTCTGCGTTACGGTGATGAGCGTATGCTCAAGGATTGTAAGGAGGCCGGTGTCAATGGTTTCATCATGGTTGATCTTCCTCCTGAGGAGGCTGTTCGCTTCCGTGACCTCTGCGCCAGCTACGGGTATGTTCTATCCCAATTGGAGAAGAAATTGCCTATATTAATCCCCTTCCAGACTCTCATATGTCCCTCTCATCGCACCCGCCACTTCAGACTCTCGCATGAAGCTTCTCTGTAAGATCGCCGATTCCTTCATCTACGTCGTCTCTCGCATGGGTGTCACCGGTGCTACCGGCAAGCTGAGTGCCAACATCCCCGAACTCCTCGCCCGTGTCCACGAATACTCCGGAAACGTTCCTGCTGCTCTTGGGTTTGGTGTCAGCACCCGTGAGCACTTCCTGTCTGTGCAGGAAACAGCCGAGGGTTGTGTTATTGGTAGTCAGATCATCACTGTTATTGGCCAAGCTCCTCCTGGCCAGGCTGCCAAGGCCGCCGAGGAATACCTTACCAGCGTTACTGGTCGCAGACTCGAGCGTGATGCACAGGGTACTCTGACCCACGAAGTCAAGGTCCTCGAGGCCATTGAGAAGGCCCTGCCAACTGGCGAGGCTGCCCCCACCAAGGTTATCACCGAGGCCGACACTCCTGCTGGCCCCGGTCTGGGTGACCAACTGGAGGCTCTGAATGTCACCAAGGATCCCTCATCTCAGCCCTCTCGTTTCGGCGAGTTCGGTGGTCAATACGTCCCGGAGTCCCTGATGGATTGTTTGGCTGAGCTCGAGCGTGGTTTCGACCAGGCAAACAATGACCCCGAGTTCTGGAAGGAATTCCGATCTTACTACCCTTACATGAGCCGCCCCAGCAGCCTCCACCTTGCTCAGCGCCTGACCGAGCACGTTGGTGGTGCTAACATCTGGCTTAAGCGTGAGGATCTCAACCACACTGGTAGCCACAAGATCAACAACGCCCTTGGGCAGATCCTTATTGCTCGTCGTTTGGGTAAGACCCGCATCATTGCTGAGACGGGTGCTGGACAGCACGGTGTTGCCACTGCTACCGTCTGTGCCAAGTTCGGCATGGCATGCACTGTGTACATGGGTGCCGAGGATGTGCGTCGTCAGGCTCTTAATGTCTTCCGCATGAAGCTTCTTGGTGCTTCGGTTGTTGCTGTTGACGCTGGTAGCCGTACCCTGCGTGATGCTGTCAACGAGGCCCTCCGCGCCTGGGTTGTTGAGCTTGACACCACCCACTATATCATCGGTTCTGCTATCGGCCCCCACCCCTTCCCCACCATTGTCCGTACTTTCCAGTCCGTTATTGGCAATGAAACCAAGGAGCAAATGATGGCTGAGATTGGAAAGCTCCCTGACGCTGTTGTTGCTTGCGTTGGTGGTGGTAGCAATGCTGTCGGCATGTTCTACCCCTTCTCCAACGACCCCAGTGTGAAGCTTGTTGGTGTCGAGGCCGGCGGTGATGGTGTGGATACTGCCCGTCACTCCGCTACTCTCTCTGGAGGTTCCAAGGGTGTCCTTCACGGTGTCCGTACCTACGTCCTGCAGAACGAGCACGGGCAAATCTCTGAGACCCACTCTATCTCGGCCGGTCTGGACTACCCCGGTGTTGGCCCTGAGCTGAGTGCCTGGAAGGATGCTAACCGTGCCACTTTCATCGTTGCCGATGACGCCCAGGCTCTGTCTGGATTCCGCGCTCTTTCCCAGCACGAGGGTATCATCCCCGCCCTCGAGTCTTCCCACGCCGTCTACGGTGTTATGGAGCTTGCCAAGTCTATGAAGAAGGGTGAGAACATCGTTCTCAACCTGAGTGGACGTGGTGACAAGGATGTTCAGAGTGTCGCGGATGAGCTTCCCAACCTGGGCCCCAAGATTGGCTGGGACCTGCGTTTCTAAATTCCCCAACCCTCCAATTCTGTCTCTTATCCGATCAAGATAAGCGATCTTCTCTCTCATGAGGGTTGTGTACTGTGTACAGCAGCACAGTTACTTCTATGACATACCTTAAACTGGCCATTGGTGTCAGACGTTAGATGTTTTGTACGAACGGTGTCTATAAAAGCGCGTCATTTTTCGGGCTACTTCTCGGCTTGTTCCTTATTCTTAGGATACAATTTTCTTTTATACAGACTTTATACAATCAAGTGATATCATTCTACCTTGTGTGTTGAGTTATCCGATCATAATCAATAAGTAGTACTCGTATGGCAACTAAAAATGTCAAGGGTATAATTCATAAGAGCTATAGAGACTCGTTCACCTAGATACCTAGGTATGTTTCCTAAACGTACAATCTATGCCCAGAATCAAGCAAAAAGAAGAACCTTGGAAAGAAGCAAAAACAAAACAGGATCTAAAAATAACATGTACTTCAAAGTATAGTATTGACGCCCCACTGACAATTCCCAAAACCATGAGCTACTACTAGTAGTAGATTGGCCAATTATTTGCGGGCCATATTATCGTCGGGGTGAGTTCGAGGCTCCACACCATTCTCAGCAGCATGAAGCCAATCCAACAATCGCACCGGAGGCCCCACCTGATCAGGATTCGCTGCATGGAAATCTTGCAGCATGTGTGGCTGATATCGAAGATCTCCGGCATCATACCATTTCTGATCTGCAGGCTTGCCATACCATTTCACGCGATATTTCAGTTTCTTTCCATACTTCCGAGATCGCAGAATTTCTTCTATCCGGTATTCATCATCCTGCTCTTCCTCCTGCTGTTCCTCTGGATCTAGTAAATGTACCTCTTTGTCTCGAAGAACGACGACCTTGCTCGGAGGAGACGGTGATCGGTAATAGGTGTCGTAGTCCCATGAAGAGGGCTCTGAGCTGGGGACAGGGAGATCAGGGTAATAACCAGTGGGTGAAGGGGTAAGGTCAGGGCCTGGCGAAGGTGGAAGGGTAATGATAGGCGAAGGTCCAGCAGATGGGGATGAGGGTGGAGAAGAAGAACGTATCTGTCGACCTCGAGGGATCGTTGGTGTAGGCATCGAAGAAGAAGGAGATGATGGTTCAGAAGCATTGCGAGGTGAGAGGGGAGGGCCAGACTCAGGAGAGGAGTTAGAGAAGCGTAACTCCCTTTGGGCAAGATACCAGAGCCTGAACTTCAACCTGTAATAATAAGAAATCGCGAAGACATATAACACGCTTAATTGGATTATAGTCGCTCGAAGGTCGAAATGAAATTTCAAAATAATCAAAAACGAAGCCACAAATATCAAAATCAAGAACAGAAAGGACCGGATTAGTGATAGCAAACGACGGCCGAACCAATTGGGGACAGCATCAAAGGCCCATGATACGAACAAATATAACCTTTGTTCAATCCGAAGTAAAGCAGCTACTGTGTGCCAAAACAAGAATAAAATTCCAGATACACACACCAACATGCCGGAAGCGAGTAGCCTCACACCATGCCATCCCCGAAACAAACCAGAGGTTAACAAGGATACGCCACCAGAGAATGCCGATATTGAGGCACCGACACGAGGTCTCGACCTGCGAATGCGATCGTATGCCAACTTATAAACAGGCAAGGTGATGGCAGTGAAAAAAAGCGGCAAAATGAGCATGGCCATATAGCCGGAGCTGCGCCTGAACACAAGATGAAGCACGGTAAATGTGAACCGTTTCCAATAGCTAAACTTCCTCCAGATCGTAGAGAAGATTCGCCGAAGCCATCTAAAAGTATCTTGAGGTGATGTCGTGATTGATTGAATCGAATATGAAGCCCACTTTAAGGGACTCAAATAACCTTCCTTGTCAACATAGGAAACATACTCTTCCCAAAGGGAATCGGCGTTCATTCCAAAAAGGTCATTCCAAAACCCAAATCCATTATTCTCCTGACCTTTTAGCCAGCGATCTTTCTCTCTTCCCCAGTAATAATCCTTTGAGATTTTATCGTTCAGACGGGCAATTGATCCCTTTCCATACTTCACATTTTCAATCCAAAGCAAAAAGTACGCCGTGTGCTCAGAATCTTTATCCCACAAATCAGGCAGATCTCCAAGTAAATCTGGCGTCTTGACTCCCTGCCACGCTAGATCGGCCTGAAGAGTCACAAATTTCGCAATTCCTTCTATGAGTGCCTTAGGCGGAGGATGATTCTGATTCTTCTTAACATGTAGATACTCGGGCCTTGTGTATTGGTATATGTTTGCTAAATCGTGCGTGAGAAGCTCCAATAGTATACGTCGTCGGACTGCTGGTGTTTGCCAAGGGAGTGGACTTTCCCAACTTTCTTGAAGCCAACCAAGACTGAGAAACAGTGTGCGCTTGGAAGGACTCGCCGAGTTCAATGGCTCGACACTGCTTACTGCTGAAAGACTCATCCGCTTAAAGTCGTTGTCATTGATCATGATAGATATGGAGTCCACATTAGGGGGGAGGGAATTCATTGTCATAATCGGTCCTTGCACCCCCACCCGGAGTCGTAGTAAAAGGATTGTAGTCCGCAAATCTTGAGCCAAATTGCTTTGCTTTGTCGGATATGTAATCGGTTGAAAATCCCGGGCGTGCTTTTGCGGGATTAATGGGGCGATAAAGACTGTTCATGACATTTTCCAAGGCTATTGGGATAAGATTGCCGAGTTCGTGAAGGATAGAGCCGCAAGCAGAAGATGACGAGTCGACCTTGTTTTGTTCGATATGAAAAGCAACCATCTCCGGACCTTCTGGCCTCCGAGACTCCTTATCTTTCGCTCCATCTGAAGCATTCGGTTTTGGGAGGACGAAGTCTATGACCCAATCGCTATCGAATGTCATTGACATATTGGGTCGGGGCTTAAAGCCAGCTACATTATCCGGTACATCTTTCCACGCAGCGACGTCGAGCACCCAGTCACTTCTGACTTTGGAGCACCATAGAAGCAGCACGAATAATTGCCACATGATCGAGTTCCTGATCTTCGACCTCTTGAGTTTCTAGACTTGAAGATTTTCGAGTATCATGAGCAACACCATCCATCCAAGTGCTTGACGAAGTACGTATAATCCGATAAACAGAGCAGCTAAGACGAGGTATAAGTTTCAGTTAAAGAAAAGAAAATTAAAGTGACTATGGTCCCGAGTCGGGGTTTATAATGGCAAAGGAATTCTTTGTCACAGTCCAGAATTCAAATGTGAGTTCGTGAAAGAGAATGATAATTATAGAGCAGGATTTTAATGAAAAACAAAGACTGTTACTTTGCCTCTTCTTTGAACGATGACAGAGGAGAGTCTTTTGATTCAAGACTGAAAGCCGAATTAAAGTGTACTTTGGTCTCTATCTGGTACTGGGGGTCAAAGAGTGGTCATAAATGTAGACCAAAGGCATGGACACATGAGCATACTCACTGTAACAATTAAGGTAAAATTACCTACACTTGACTGAATTGTACTCGTGTTTTCGTTTCTTATAGCAGTTTGAGTTGAATAAGATCATAAATAGTAGGGTAATGTTCCTTACTGAAAGACAGATACAACAGTCTCCCTGTGTCTGCCAGCGCGTCCAGACATACATACTTCACGATCTCATTTAATGAGTTGAATATGAATGATTTTCTGTATTGATCCAAGTCATTTCCGGTGGGAAGAAATGAGGCAAAGTCATATTGACTCGAATATTCACTCCTTTGGCTTTCATCATTTTCTTTGTTCTGACTGTTGCCAGAAACTGGCAATCTTCCTGGAAGCCGAGTTGCAGAGAGTAGTCGATGTCAAAGATCTCAAGTAGATGAGCAGATTTGCAAAGAGGGAATGTAGTTTTTTCCAAGGAAAAAGCAGATCCCCAAATCCTGAACAGTTGTATCCCTAGATGCAGTGGACGTCAACGAGTCTCAGTCTACTGTCGATTTCCTACATCAACAAGGCTTCGAGCGAGTTCTACCTCCTTGGTAATAACAAAGAGGTAATGACAAAAGGCCTTTGAGCAGTAGAATCCCCGGAAATGGGAATCACCTGACAGCCAAAAAGTCCCATGAATTCACTCGCAGTTGATGAGCATGTTTAGGATCAGTCGAACGATGACAAAATCTTATATTGAGGAAATCACAATGCTCTGATCGTCCAACTTGACATATTTGCGAGAAAAGAAACTGCTTCTATCCGTATCTCATTGAGACCCATCAAGGACAATAGCAACTCTAATTAGCGTGGGGGTGCCACTTTCAATAACCGACGGTGGGATGTTGTAGTATGGATCCACCATCGCCACTCAAGATATCACCATAATTTCGAAGAAGGAACCAACAAGATAATAGAGAAAAAGAAGAAGAAGAGAAACCAATAGATTGAGCTTTATAAACAAAAGGAATAATCTAGGCATAATATACTGCACGACTGTCCAAAGGGGATGGTTTTCCGGCCTCGGAGGTACCGCCCGAGATCCCCTCATTCTCCCTCCTTCTTCTTCATTTCCCGTCGGTCTTCATCCGATTACAGTGGGGTATCCGCGGGGGATTATTTCCCCGTACTTGAATGGTGGGGGATTCCTATCTCAGTGACACCTTGGGTTTATCTCTTCCTTCCTTGTCTCTCTCTCCTTTTTTTCAATCTACGACTCGCCGTAATTATCATTATGAAGCTCCTCTACCCAACCTCAGTCCCGGGCCTCGACCTCCAAAGCCTCAAGGCCCTCGCCTCGCTGCACCCTTATGATGTCAAGTCTCCCATCCCCGAAGAGCACGTTGACGCCGACATCCTCGTAACCTGGTCCAACGCACCGGAAAACCTCAAGGATGCCGCCAAGCGCCTAAAGAACCTCAAATGGATCCAATCGCTCGCCGCCGGCCCCAACGACGTCCTGGGCGCCGGATTCGACGCCTCCAAGATCATCATCACCACTGGCGTCGGTCTGCACGACCACCCCGTCGCCGAGCACGCCCTCGGTCTTCTCCTCTGCGGCGCGCGCCGCTTCTTCGAGATGCGCGACTACCAGCTCCAATCCAAGTGGCCGCAACATCTGGGCGGATCATTCCCGCGCAGCGATTTCACCACTCTGCGCGGTTCTCGCGTGCTGATCTGGGGCTTTGGCAGTATTGCGAAGACTCTCGCCCCGCACTTGACTCTTCTGGGCGCGGAGGTGAAGGGTATCGCTCGCAGTGAGGGCGTGCGCAATGGCATCCAGGTCTATGGTGAGGATAAGCTTGCGGAGCTTCTGCCGCAAACCGATGCCTTAGTGATGATTTTGCCTGGCTCGGCCGCGACGCAGAATGTGTTGAATGCTGAGAGACTTAAGTTGCTTCCTAAGCATGCTTGGCTCGTGAATGTGGGACGTGGTGTCTCGGTTGATGAGGATGCTTTGGTGGATGCGCTAGAGAAGGGTGAGCTGGCCGGTGCTGCTCTTGATGTGTTCCAGACTGAACCCCTGCCTGAATCGAGCCGCCTGTGGAAGGCACCTAATGTGGTTATCTCGCCCCATGCTGCGGGTGGAAGACCAGTGGGCTCGGCGGATTTGATTGCGAGTAACTTGCAATGCTTCCTGACCGAGAAGCCGCTGAGGAACACGATCTAAATACTATTTCATACTTACGAGGCAAAGATACCGGGGAATGAAGATATGCACATAAATGATTACAATTTGATATAGAATTTGGGCAATGACTCTAGATCATGTCTGTCAGAACCAGCAGTTATAATGTCGCAACCTACTACCTAGGCATGTCACTCAAAGTAGAAACCAGTCATTTTCTTCTCCATGCAACTCGCCTCTTCTTGCCCAGCCTGACTGCTCTCGAACTAAAGGGTTCATTTTAGGATTTGAAAACATCAATTCCATAGCGTTCTTTTCCATACGCAGGGTATACTCAGATCTTATATTACTGTAACATACAGTGACCCTGTGGTACATTTTACTGTGATCAGAGAACCAAAAAATTGATACTCTCCAAAGTTACAGGTGGAAAGGTAGCCAATTATGGCATTGATTTCGCAGTCCTCATATTCTAATTTTAATAAACATCCGTAATTCATAAGTTCGGGGTATCGAGATAGGAGTGATGAAGGAGTAATAGTCTAAGAATACCAAGTGGTACCCATGCGCCATGATATAAGACGATGCTATCAGTTGATGATTGGCGGACCAAGTAGAGCTTCAGCAGCCAAGGGAACGTCAAATGATGCCAAAGGCGTTGGATAGAATTTAATCCACCTTTGCTTGTGTAAGACTCTTCGGTGTTCGGAGATTGTTGGAGAGGTGCAAATTCGCGTTGGTGTTTTTGTGTCGCTTGAGTTTGCGACGAGCAACCATAACAGGGACGGAGGAGTGCTGAAGTAGGTAATTAGAGAATGAGCCCAGAAGAACTCTGCAATCACAAGTCAGTAGCTATTTTATCATATTTTGCTGGAACATGGCAATGCATACCCTTTCAAGGCACTTTGGCCACGAGCACCAACGATCACCATAGTTGGTTCAAGTTCGTCGATCTAGATATAGGATTAGCATGGGACCCTTTTGAGCAGAAACACATTTCACGGAGTAATAACTCACAGCCTCGGTGATCATGAGTTTAGGGCTCTTGCAATGAATCACTTCCACGGCAATCCGAACCTGAAGGAGAGTCTTGCGGAGAAGCTTCACACAAGTTTGCGATACTGCCTCGACAGCCCGTACGCGCTCTGTTTCCGTGACTGAGGATACGCGAGAATCGGCCGAGCCCGTCTTGCTGGCAGTTACAGGTCCCAGCCGGCCAAGGATTGTGCGGTTTTGAGAAGCCTCCCTGGTCTGCGAGCCAACAACCACTGCCGCATCTTGAATAGCCTTCGCTCCTTCTCCAACTTGTACGGAGGATGGATTCCCGTCCTCGTGTATGGTGTAGATGGCGTACATCGTGTCGCCCTCCCTCAGAACGGTACCGATGGTCCATTCTAAAGCATATACTGATTCCTCGCTCAGGTCGGTCGCGACGAGATACTTTCGATGACGCCGGCGGCCGCCATCAGCCTCCTCCTGAAGACTTGCATAGTTTCCCCGAACTATCGTTCGAATCGATCGGTTTGGAACGCGATTGTCAATGGCGGACATGGAAATGCTGAGCTTCTGGGCCCGATGGACATCTTCTTTCTCGGCCTCGTCTTCTGAGCCGTATGGGGTGCCAGCAGCGGATTGTGCGTATGGGGTCGGAATATCATAGCTAGTTCGAGGGTGGATAACGGTTTTGAGGGCAGACTTTCTAGGCTTCTTGTCCATGCCCGGAATGTTGAGTTTGTTGATTGGTTTTGCTACATGAAATGTTAGCACGCTCTGCGTTGGGTAGAATTGTATATCGCTTTTTGAGAACGCACCTTCTTCGGAGAATGTGGCTTTGTCCTCTCTGGCTTTATTGAAGTCACTGGGGGTGATTCTAGTGATATCAGAGCCTTTCTTCTTACGACCTCGTCCCTCATTCTGTTCATCATCACTGGATGAATCGTCACCATCGTCTTCGCTGCTCTCAATGATATTCTTGTCACGGTCGAAGACGTCTTTGGCAAGTCGCTCGCCGGATTCCTCGTGTTCGGTCGGTTTGACATAATCCGGAAGGACACTTGATCTCTTTTTATTGCCCAAAGCTTCGTCCGACTGGTTATGAGCATCGTTCATTATCGCTCTCCCTTTTTCCGTGTCGGCCAGGGTCGGTTTCGCCGAATCGAATTGGCGAGTACCAGGGGAAACGGATCGACTGAAATGCGGCGATCTAGAATCAAGAGATGAACCACGCCGACTCGATCCATGACTTGAATCTCTACCGCGAGAAAAGCTGCGTGGGAATAGTCTTGACTCCAATCCCGACATCATTGCGGCCATGCCCTTTCGGCCTTGTGTCTTTTCCCTTTGGTCCGATGACCTGTGAGACGCATCCTCAGCGTCGGCCGCATGCCGCTCCGGGGAGCTGGGGGCGGATGCCATACTAGTAGCGAGTGAGATGTTTCGTAAAGGTGAGGACTTGAGAGGTCCGGCCGAGCTGCGATTTGATCTTCGTGATGACGAAGCAACCCCGCCAACACTCCTTGCAGACTGCGGGGTGCTGGAGCTCAGCAGATTCTGGACAGTGCGGCCAATGCCCGGAGGTTTAAGGTCTTGAGTGGGTGATGGAAGCGGTGGTGAGGCAGCACGATATGCTGAGGATTTTGTGAGCTCCCGCGACGAAGTCTCAGGGAGCTTAGGGGAGATGCGACCAGAGTGGTACGACATCGCGTGCGGTACCGCCTCCGGCCGGGTTGCTGTGGAGAAAGCGACGGGAACCAACGAGGAGGCTGAGCGGTTGGAATGTGGAACCTGATCGCCACTGGCACCTTAATAGTATGACGATAAACCCGCAGTAAGGTCACTCCGTACTTGGATAGGAGAATCGCTCCAGGATTGAGGGTTGAAGATTGGAAAGGTGCAGGATCAGAGGAAGGTACAGCGCTGCATACTACTAGCCGCGAGATGTTTCTGCTAGGCTGGGAGATTGGGTAGTTGGATCTGTTTACCATATCTAATACAGTTGATTGCGGCTAGAAAACAAACGCTAAATGAGAAAACAAGATCATACAAAACTATGCCTTGGACTTCTTCGTCTTTGTCTTTGCATCTTTCGACTTGCGAGCTCCAACGGCAGCGAATGCCTCCTCCGATGGCTCATCGGGTGGTCCACGCTTCTTCCCATTGGGCTGCGCATATTTCTCCTCAAGATGCGCGAGGAATCCCTGGCCACGTTGTTGCTGACGCTTGCTGATCAGAGCCAATAGATCATCCTCACCCCCAGCCGAGCCCTTGGAAGTCTTCGCAGCCTTCTTCTTTTTATCATTCTCCATCTTCTTTGACATCTTCTCCGCCTCCTTAGCCTCCTTCTTCGCACGCTTGACCCGTCGATCGCGTTTCGCCTCTGAATCTTCGGTATAGTTGTCATATTTCTCCACCTCTCCCGCGGCAATGGCCTCATCGATGATACCCCGGAAGCGCTCGTCGTCGTCCAAGACGTTGGAAAGCATCACCGACTCATAAATCCCGTCAAGGTCACCCTCATTTGTCTCGTATGCCTCGAGCAAGTCCTTCTTCTCTTCATCAGAGCCTTGGTATTTCTTTTGGAAATCGGAGACGGCGCGCGTGTCGAGCATGGCGGAGAGTTGTTCGCGGTAAAAGTCCAGCCAGTCAAAATCGCCATCTTCACCAAGCACTTCCTGCGTGTTGCCTGTGCGATCGTACATGTTGCGACGCCGTTGGTCGGACAGGACGGCATAGGCGAGGGCGATTTTCTGGAATTTGGCATTTGCTTCGTCGCGAGCATCTTCGCTCACCTTGTCTGTATATAGCACGGGGAATTAGCATTTGTTCAAACTCCGCTTATAATCTGGCAGACGGTGTGATAGACACTCACCTGGGTGGTACCTCAAGGCATTCTTCTTGTATGCAGTCTTGATTGCCTCTGGTGTTGCTGTTGAGTCGACGCCGAGAATTTGGTAGAGATCTTCCTCGACCGAGGGTGGTTGGTCATCGACCTTGTCAGACTTGGATCCTTTGGCCATTTTGAAATTCGCGTGATCAATCCGAAGTGACCAAGATACGATAGTATGGGATGTATGGTAGCAGTCTTATATCTCGAGTCCAATGTTTCCAGTAAAAAGTTGACCGGCGCGGGTCGCGATCTCCGACGCGCCGCCATTCCGTCATTCTGCAGCCCAGACCGCTTTCAATGTGACATCACATCTTCAAAGCTGGACCCTCGTCTGTTGATTCTTATAATTACTTACTTCTCTGACATTATCAGGTCGAATGCCAACTAAGGTAGCTCGAATTCTATAATCCGCCCTATTTTGCGCATCTTCTCCGTGATCCTCACCACCAATTGAACCTCCTCCCAACCCTCCACAATGTCAACCACCTCCCCGCACACCACCTACATGCAGAAATGCATCTCCCTCGCCGAACAGTCCCCTCCCCGACCGACAAACTTCCGCGTGGGCGCAATCCTCCTCTCTCGAAAAGATGGTGATTCCACCTACTCAGACGACCGCGTTCTTTCTACAGGCTATACCATGGAATTAGCCGGAAACACCCACGCCGAGCAGTGCTGCTTTGCGAACTATGCCTCTGTCAACAAAGTTGCAGAGGAGCAAGTGAGCGAAGTACTTCCCTGTTGAGTCGGGCCGAAAGCTCATCATGTACGTCAGCATGGAACCATGTGGGAAGAGACTATCTGGGAATGCGCCGTGCGTGCAGCGCATTACCAGGACCCGGGACGGTGGCCGGGAGGGAATTCACAAGGTTTATTTCGGTGTGAAGGAGCCTACGACTTTTGTTGGAGAGTCTGAGGGGTGTAAGATGCTTTCGGCTGCGGGGATTGAATGGGAGCATGTCCCTGGTTTGGAGAAGGAGATCTTATCGGTTGCTGTGGCTGGGCATGAGAATCCGGAGGAGGAGGTCAAGTCTGCTTTGGGGAAGATGGGGACAAATGTTGATGATATTAGTGAAGAGGAGAGACAGAGACAGGCGCAAATACCTCGTAACCCGAAGAAGAGGATGATGGAGAATGAGACCATCCTTTATTAAATGGAAATAATAAAAAAATGACAAGATCGGTGACAGATTGTCAGCATTCTGCTTGTTAGCATCAAAATGGAACAGATATAAGAAGTTATGGTACTAGAACTTGCGCTCAGAAATTCCGAGGTACTAGATAGCCAATTGTAATTCATCGCGAGCACTTTGATAGGAGCGGCCTGGTCAACGGTGTTATTTGACAGCATACTCTACAGACCTTGGCGTGACAATACAACAAGTTTTCCAACGGTTGCAGCTTGTCACCAAGCTGCGTCCAAGCATACTATAAATTCCGATACTCCTGGTCGGCACCTCAAATATCTGTTTATTTTCTCATCCCGTTTTGCAGAACAATAACATTGTTCCCATCGACACGTCCAATTGAAGACACGTGACCGCTCCACTTCATCGATTAACGACAATCTTCCAACATATCTGGTCACCTTCAAGTGATCACAGCACTTTTAAAGATCCCTCCGACGAGAAAATGACCTCATGGAGAAACACAACGATGTGGACCCTACCTTCTATCCCGCATTCTGCTTCAAGGCATCCCCAACACACTTCGCCTGGGTGAAAATGGCGCTGGCAGATGTGCACAAGCTTCATAGACCGGAAGGTTTCAGCGGTATGACTAGTACTCCTCTTTCTCTTTTCTGCTATTGTCATTCTCTCGTCAATCTCATTTCTTTTCTTCTGGGGTGAACTGCTTCTCTTCATCCGTTCGGGTTTTGCCCTGCCCTGCCCCGCTCTACGCTGCGCTTCCCTACTCTTGATTACATCTACATGGCTTCTGTTCATTCTGCAAACTACCTCAACAAAAAGACCTTGAAAAGAACATAATAACTAACAACCCCCCCACAGGCCAAAACCTATTCTTCTACAAAAACCACCCAATCACCTTCATCAGCGTGGTAGGCGTAATCGTAGCCAGGAACGAAATCACCCGGCGAACGATCCTCACCATAGACGACAGCAGCGGTTCCACGCTCGACATTGTAATTTTACAAGCGGATCCAAAAGAAAAAATCTCAACAGAGAATAGCGCCCAGGTCCGAGTCTCATCATATCCGACTGCAGCCAGCACGGCCTCATTCAATCTCCCAATGAAGCCAGCAGCGACCGCAGATCTTGATCCCTCAGCGGAAGAACCACCGGATCTCCTAGCCATGAATCAGATCGTCCACGTATCCGCCACAGACAGGACAATAATCGACATTTCAAAACTTGTCCCAGGAACCACAGTCAAGGTCAAAGGCACGGTGAATCGATTCCGATCAACGATGCAGGTGAATCTGGAGCGATTCGCGCTCGTGCACGATACGAATTCCGAAATGCAGTTCGTCGACGCGAGACTTCGGTTTTTGGTCGAGGTTCTTTCTGTGCCGTGGGTTCTGCTTGATGAGGAGATTGAGGCGTTGAGGCGCGAGGCTGAGAGGGGTGGGTTGGAGATTGCTGATGAGAGGAGGAGAGCTGAGAAGAGGGTTAGGATGAGGGCGGAAAGGGAGGAGAGGGATCAGAGGCATATACAGAAGCGGTATGAGAAGGAGGAGAGGAAAAGGGCTCAGGGGGCTGGGGTGTGTAAGGAGGATGGGGTGAAGGTTATGCACGATATTCGCCTTCGCAAGAAGAGGGACCTTTCTGTACAGGGGGGTTCGGGCAAACCATAAGGCAGTTTGAGAGCACAGCGGAGGGGGGTGCGTTTTGAGGCTGGTTTGACTTCTTTGGAATTGGTGGCTCCAAGTTCCTTGATATTTGAACAGCCCTACGAGTTCAGGTTCCATTGGAGTCGCATTCGGGGGAGACTCTCCTGTGTTACTAGGCACAGACTCAGAGTTTAGTAGCCACTATACGTTGTTTCCAAATTTCCCCATCCTCTGACGTGTGAGATCTCGACAAAAGACATTTATATATTAGCGATAATAAGAGCTTTTGTGCGCGAGCAGTATGTATTCAAAAAGATTAGACATGAGACATCGTCATTCATTTCGTCACAAACCCCCAGAAACAGGGTATCTTCATGCCACGCGAAACGCCCAGCTGGAGAAGGAGAATCAAAGAAAAAAAAAGATAGCAACACCTGACAGCCAAAAAGGCACACTAAAAGCTTGAAAATAATGGGGCCCCCAAAGAATCACACAATCAGTGGTAGTACTTGACCGGTCCACCACCGTGTCCACCAAGCATACCACGATAATAATCATCGCCACTGCGACTGCTGCGATGATCTTTGAACCGACGGCCATCGTCACTATCGGGCAGAACAGAAGTTGGAGACTCCATGTATAGATCCGCGGCAGATATGCCCTCATATCGGGGAGTGTTGTCGCGACTGCTATGCAAATCGCTTTCCGAGTGTCGATAGTCACCAGGACGTGTGTTCATCCCACGAGACGAGCTGCGGGATGTTCGTGAGAATCGTCGAGAAGCGGGGCCGGAGCCAGTTCGACCATATCGGGAATCGCGGTCAAACTTTTCCGCCGGTCGGTGCTTTAGGGGTTCTGAGGTAGAGTTCGAGGTCGAGGTCGTGCCAGTGATGTCTGCTGGTCTGGATGTGGAGAAGGAGCTAGTTGAGCTGCCAGTGCGAGAGTGGCCTGAGCCTGACTCTTTATATTGCTTGCCGCCTCCCGGGTGAGCGCTGTATGGCTTTCTCTCTCGCTCGATGGAGACTGAGGGTGTAACTTCTTCGTCTTCGTCATCGATCACAGCCGAGGATGATGCGGCAGAGGCAGAGGCAGAAGTATGTGGAGGGCGTCCTCGTTCGTATGACCGAGCTCGGCCGGAGGATGAAATTGCTGGCTCGGGGGATCTCTTTGCAGTCGATGGTCGTGAGAGCTCACGTTCCTCTTCGGTGATGCGAGGTAAATCAACTCCGCAGTGCTTCATTATATATTCCTCAGTCTCCTCTCTTAGTTGAATATCAGCGGTGTCAGGGAAGAGCCGGCGCGGGATCTCTTTCGGGAACCGCTCTTTCTTGTCATCTGGATTGCTGATCGGCATGTTGAGTACAGCCTTCTGTAAGCGCTCGTATTCCCGGTCTGGATGGGCTTGAATCATCATGGTAGCCCATTTTTCAAATCCTTTCGGCGTCAGGCCCGGGATATCGGGTCGTTCCTTGAGATCAGCCGACTGAACCAGGTGGTGTTCCACTTCCACGTCGCGGAATAGTCTCGAGATGGAGGAGGTGCGGTCATCAAAGATATCTGTATCAATACGTCAGGAAAAGTTCCGTATAGGCCGATTCGAGAAGAGAAAGACCCAAACCAACCTTTCCAAGGATATTTATCTAACGAAACATTGGTGTCCGCATAAAACTTTTGCAGCTTGTCGGGAACAATGACAAGGGTATTTCCCGGTGGGTAATCTTCGATCTATTCCCTAAGCGTTAGTATCTTTTTTTATAAATAAAATCATGCTTATGACATACCAAGTGCATTGCAATTCCGCGCAAAAATTGACCAAGTCTCTTTGTAGGCTTTCCATCTTCAAAAAGCTTTCCCCAAATTCTCTCCAGTGTCGTCATCTCCATCACTGTGGTGTCCCGCTCCGGACCCTTGGGGCGTGGTGCCTGACTCCCTTGGCTAGACATCGACTCACGACGCCGGGAAAATGACTCTGGCGATTGTTGCGTCCTTGAGCGAGGATCATTCGAGTAGGCAGAGGGCGGCACATATGGGTGCGTATCGTAGCTTTTAGACATGGGATCGACGAAAGGCACCGATCCGCTTCTCTGAGAAGCAATCGGTGGAGACTCGGAGTGTGGTCGAGGAGCCAAGTCTGCCGCTGAGTAGGGAGGCTGCAGTGACTGCGATCGAGCAGGAGGCTGACCAGAACCAGAACCAGAGCCAGGCAGGTTGCTATTCTCCAAGCCACTAGCTTTGAGCTGCTGGATCACGGTCGCGGTAATCTGCTGCAAGACATCGGGAGACAGGTAGGCGGACGACTCATTACTATGAACGGCAGAACTGATAGCATCGTTCAAATGGCCCGAGTTCGTACTCTCCGGGCGGGGAGGTTCTGGATATGGCTGGTCCATGTTGGAGGTAGCCGATGCGGGCTGAGGCATCTGCAGTTGGGGCATGTTCAGGTAATCGTTTTCATGGCGAGAGGGATATGGAGGATGCGGTGGACCATAAGGATCGGTCGGGTCGGAGGTCATGTTGCCCGTCTGGTAGGGATTAGGGGTCGAACGGTATCCATCGTAAGCCATCACGGCCAGGATACGAGACGAGCCGTGGGGTTGGTTTGTTTCTCTCTCGCTCTGCGGACAGCCCGCTGGGAAAACAAAAAAACAAAAAACCAGTCACGGATAACGGCCTGAGGGGAAGAGAGTGTCGCAGAAGGCAGAGAAATTCGGAGCGATGGAGGGGCTGTGGGGAAAACAAAGTGGCGATCCCAAACACAACTGCGTCACTGGTGCAACAGCTTACTAGTACATTAGTACTGGCCACTGCCATCCTGTTAGACAATATGCCAGTAGCCCTGTGGGACTGTAACTCAACGTCACGAACCTTTGATGTGGCGCATTTAATATACTAAAGTGCCACAAATGCTTGGGATGTCATATTCGCCAACTGTGCTGTAGCGTCATGATCGGCATCATTTAATCTATTCACTGATGGCTTCCATGCGATGCCTGCGTCGATTACGATTTCCTCTGCACCTATCAGCGCTGCTAGCAGCCCGTTTCATGTTTTGCACAGATCGCTGCATCTGCAACTCGGCTGCAAACCCGACAGTTGGCTCTGCAGAACAGGCCAGTGCAGCCACGCGCTCGGAGGCATGACCGCAGTAGGGTTGGGGAGATGATGCGGTGAAGGGCAATCATTGAACTTCATGATACTCCAGGGGTATTATTGAAAGGACTACGAGTAGGACTAAGTGTACACCGAACAACTAGATCCAACTTCAAGTTGGGATATTGGTGGGACTTGAGACTATTGATCTTCCTAATTATAGTTCGCGGGGGCGAATATATTTTTAGCGCCCAGGAGGGTCTCAAGTTCAACTTGAAGTAGTCTACTCCGTACCAATGTCAGCCCTGGAGGGCTCATAACTCGGATCATTGTGAGACTGAGACTAGTGCATCTTGATTCTTGCGAAAAGAGAAAAAAGAAAAGAACCCCCCCCCCGACCTGCTAAAGATAGATAGATTATTGCACTTCCCAGTCTTTGGAAATGAGTGGAGAATTGGATACCCTGTTGGAACATGGGGAACGGAACCACCGATGTCATGACCATGGCACCCCTGATCCTGACCAGGGAAACAACGTACCAACAATTCAGGTTGAAAACTAGACCGCTTTGATGTCATTTTCATATTCATATGAAAAGAGAAGAGAGGAAAGAAACAAAAAGGCAGTAGGGGAATGCAGAGCCGAGTGAAGTTTCGAGAGGCTCAACTGTTTACTCAGGGTGGCCTCGGCGATGACGGTTCGGCTGGTTTGGAAAATTAGATTAGCCACGCGACCATGAAAGACAGACCAAGGAAAATGCCCAACGCAGCATTACTCACTCGGATTTTTGACCACCCGGTTCGACTTCGCTCGGCTCGTGGGGCAATGGTATCATCGTCAGAGCCATATTCGGGGGCAAGCAGAAATCCATCATTCGAGACCAAAGTAGAACTTGTGGTAGATCGCTGTAGTAGAAAGAAAGTTCTTGTCATTAAAATAGCTCACTGACTCCCTTATTAGGGCAAAACCAGGTCAAATTGGAAGCAACTTACGATCTCGTCGTCGGCCTCTGCCCGTGGAAGGTGAGGTGCCGTAGCCCGATTGGAAGCAGTCTCATATGTTCGTTCACTTGTCGAAGTCTGTGCGGAAACACTCTTTGTACCGAGTGCATTCTGATGCATGAGCCCAGGTTGAGGAACTGCCGATGGCTCAGAGGGAAAGCCACTCTCGTTGTCATTTTCACCAACAGGAAGAGCAAGTCGGCGTCGGGGTGCAGGGGGAGGTCCCTCGATCGCTCGATCTGCACCGAGATTCTCCTCGATCCGCTGGCTACCACGCTGGCGTTCACGTTCATGAAACTCGTGGTCGTTGTTCATCATGAAGTCCTGGCAAGGAATGCAAGTCTGTCGAAGGCCATTCTTGATCAGTTCGAATTTCAACCATCCAAGCATCCCCATCCATATATATTTATATCAGAAAGCAATGACCACTTACTGGCTCCGCATACTGGCGCTGATTTCGCGCAAAGGAATCGAGACTCTTGAGCTCGGCACAGATCTTGCATCTGCGCTCTGCCTGCCCCGGATTGGTCGAGCAATCACAGCAACGGATGAGACCTGCCGGATTCGAAATCAAGATTTGGTTTCCCTCTCGATAGACTCTCTGTCGAAGAGCCGCAAGTGAAGCTTTCGAATACCATGCCTTTGATTGGCGGATTCCGCACAGACAGCAAGTGAGCCTGTAGTTGTTAGATATGGCGCCCGGGGCGATGAATCCGACTGCATACCTACCACTCTGGAAGTTCAATGCTGTCCACGCTGGAAGAGGTTAGCAGAGAAATCACTGCAGATGATAATGCCGAGAGAAGGAATAGACTTACGTCCTTCTGACGTTCTCGCTGTAGCCGCCTTTGAAGGCACTCACACGCGAGTTATCCATGATAGCTGGTCAACGAGGAAAGAGGCTCTCGATTGGCATAAGATTCTTTGGTCAACTTTCCGGGAGGGAATGGAGTTTGGAGAGAGCGAGAGAGAAAAGAGAGAGAGAGAGAGAAAGAGATGTGAAGAGTAACTTGAACGTAATGGAAGAAAAGTTATGGCGGATGTGCATGGAAAGGGAAGGCACCATCCATGTTGTGCCTGTGGCTCGGCGGGCAAGCACCCAGCACACCACGACAATACCATACGATCGCTGCCTTGGCGTATCATTCACATCGAAGCACATACTTCATTGATCTGGATACTAGATGTATCAATTAGAACGAGGCTCCAATTCTCTAAATGTGGTACTTTACGAGCCTATGAAAACGCTTGGAACGGCTACATCCCGGAAGCGATTGAAGCCTCTATAGATATGCCGGGTCAAAAACATCATACCGTTATATTTGCTCTTATAGACCATACAGCAGACAATTCAATTGGCTAGTATATACTCCTGAATTTCATAGGGATTATTCTGCAGAAAGTTACGACAAGTAGCTACTAGTATCACGTAGACACGGACACATTGAAAAGCTGTAGACGTGAAAGAATTCACAAAGACTCATACTAGTCTCTAACACTCTAATTTTTGATATAACGTTTTTTTCAAGCTTTAAACTACCTAAGGATGCCTCCAGCACAGCTGTAAGCATCATGCCTATGGTCACAAACCTACAACTGTTGCTAGGATATCCTGCGGAAATCCCTAGACATACCATGGTCGATCCGCAAACAATCTCAAACCCAGACGACAGAAATTAGGTAAGCCATACAAGAGTCAAAACATAAGGACAAGCGGTCATTCTTCTGTCGGGCTTCTAGGAACAACCATACGTAGAAACGCTGGGGGACGTGAAACAATGGAAGAAACGCTGGCGTCGGCGGATCGGCGCTTCGAAAGTGAGCGATGAGGGTACCTGGGGAGCAGCAGTGTCATCATCGGCCCTTTTGAAAAATCCGAAAAGTGTGCCAGATGAATAAATGTTTAGTACTGGTTGTACTATTCCTAAACCGCCAGAGCATCTCAAACTTGAATGAGCTGCACTATTCCCAGGTGGTCAACAGGCAGATGACCGATGCGGATGACAATGATTAAAGAATATCATGAAAGAGGACAGGAACAACAGGAACAATGGTTCCACAAAAAGCAAAGTCCATTGAACCAACGAGTCCGACTCCAAACAATGAGACCTGTCGTACGCAAACTGGCAGTTAGAAGAATGATACCAACAATAACACATACAAAGGCCCCATATAGGAGGCGGGTAAAATGTCCGAACGGATCCTGAAAGTGGGCTTTTTCGTTCGCTTCAAGCCATGCTACTCATATGAACGGAATACCTCCCAAACCAAGCCAAACCAAACCAAAATGCCGAGGATGCAGGGACAGCTCGTCAGTTTCCTCGGCGACGTACCCACAATAGGGTAGGGTTTGAAATTAGATTTGACGGACGGAAGTTTGACAACCTTCCAGAAAGTTCATCAAACGAACATCAGGGGCACGGAAGTTACGGGATAGCAACCCCCTACTCGTATGTACTCCGTTATAAAGTTAGAGATAGACTAAGCCAAGCCCCTTCTCCAAACATGCTCTAAATACGTCGATGATGGCAGGGACCTTCTCCGGAAATAGTTAGGGGCCGCGCAGTCTGCCTTAGAACCTTGGTAAGGACCTTCCAGAAACGCCAAAGCGTCGAATAAGAGGCCAGATTACGGGTGGTGGACTGTGGACTGTGGGACCCGACCCGAGATGCCTCGTGCAGCTAGCTTTCCGGAGCAGCGGTACTCCGTCGATATCGTTAACCCTTCGTCTGGGATTGATGGGTCGATCGATTCGGAAAGGGGGCGCACATGGCATTCTGATACGCTCGGTTCATGCTGTCTGTGTCATGAGGAAAAGGGGAGGGAAGGGCCGGTGTGCCAGTTGCAGTGTGCCCAGTGCTTTTTTTTTGTTTATGTTCGGCGTCTGGTGTGGGTCGAGTTGAATTAGTTCAACATTTAGCTTTGAGTACGGAGTGCAGGGATGTGCAATCTAGAGACGTTTTCCACCGCGTCGGTTTACGACTGGTAGAAGGGGAGTGGAGGGAGGTGGAGGGGAGAAGGGATGATTGGTGATGTGGACTATAGAATGTGGGCGAGCCCCTGGCAAGGTGGATGAAGCAGGAGGCAATGCATGTCTGCCTCGCCGCAACGAGGTGGCAAAGGGGGGGCAAGATGATGACGAGCGTGAGAGACAAGAGTGGGAACTGGCAATCATTTGGGGTGATGGGCAAGGGAAAGGGTCGATGAGCCTACGAGTAAGCATAAAAAATTCGATGATGCGGTTGTAGTGGACGGGCCGATGGCCTTCTCGAAGGTCGAGGGGAAGACGACGGCGCCTCCCGGGATTTTGGCAACGGGTGCAATAGTTCCATTCCTTGGGGAGCCAGCGATCCTTTGCACAATGGATGGTCCTCCCCTCTCCTCCTCTCGGGGAAGAGGAGCCTGGACTGAGGGCCCACGCAAGTGGAGTGCCCGTCGTTCCCCGAGCGCGCTAGGCCCACAGCTTGGAGACTTTTTGGAGCAGTCCAGCAATGAAAGGGCTGGATGAGGATGTCTTTTGAGTTGCTGTGTGAATCGGAATCCACTTGGTCCTTTCCAACAAAAGAGAACCGACTTCTCCGCCAATGGTGTGGTGGGCGCATAGTCTCCATCGCACTATGATCCTCTGATACTTCCTATTGGTACAATAGCTTTTAGCACTGCGCGAAGTCCTTTGACCCCAATGGAGTCTGCTGCATGCGGTGTGTACGAGTACATTGTACAGCGTGCTCCATCCATCCGTGATTTACGGCGCATCTCCTGTGAAGGTGCCCAAGCATTGTACATACAGCGTAGTACTTCATTCCAGTCAGTGGTGTGTTGTGGTGGTGTGGTATAGTGAGGAGAGGAGGTCTGACGACAGACGAGATTCTGCTCTATTTTGATTGGGTTCAGTGGCCCGGAGTGCCTGTGGTAATTACAAGTAAAAATAAAAAAAGATTAACGAATTAACTTGTGGGTTTCCACGGATTGACCACTTCCCGTATGTTGGTACCTTCTGTCGGTACGGCCCTTGGGAGGAACCCACCTTCACCCGCGGAACTCGACCGTCCGCCACCGAAAATGGATGATTATCACCTGGGCACCTGATGAAAATAATATTAGCCAAATAATTGCACAATACTCGTGGACACAAATAACAAATACTACCCCCTATTCATTTGCAATTGCATGAAAAGGCGCGACACCAATGAAGCAGTGGAGGAGTCTCAAACCGTGTATGATACAGATGTATGGAGCAACCGAGTCTCCTTCGTACTCGATATGTAATTCGAAGTGTATCCTCGTAATAATGCAATATGGGGGCGCTCATCCTTGCGGGCCAAACGGCCGCCCCAGGGTTCGTCTGGCCTGACAGGTGCGTTTCATTCTGCTGCAGGTAATCGATTACAAAGGCTCGTATTGATCCCCCTAACTCCTACTCTCCCGTTCTGACAGGTATGCGAGGATCGTCCTCGATCGTCTTCCCATGTCTGTGTCCTCGGGTTCCTGGAGCTTGTGGAGTGGAGCTCGCCTAGTACGAGTCAAGATAAAAAAGATTATGATTATCCTACCCAAGAGAGAGGAGGGAGTGAGAAGAGGGTCGATGGCGATTTCGTCCACCGGGCGACATCCGGGAGGGTAGGGATTAGCGCTCCAACGGTCCGCCGCGCGAAGAACGACTCGGATTGCAATTTAATATCCTTGACACGGAATTCGTAAGAGACTAGGCCGGGGAAGTGGTGATAGCGCCGTTCACAGAATAAAGAAAAAGGCCCTGCCCCGCTCCTGTTGGTCCTCCGTATGTACTCCGTGGTCGTAATTGTTGTTGTTGTTGCGAGGTCAACCTGAATCAGAGCGCGCCATCTGTTCCCAATGGAGGGAATCACGTCCACGCAGTGTGACCGGGGGCAGCCTCACCTCCTGACAAGGCTAGACGCGATGCGATGGAACGATGGATCGAAAGATCATTTGTATCATTTATTCATTTAATTCTATCCATCAGATGCACGATGTACCACCGATGGCGTCCCATTACCATGGTGCCCGCGGGTTAAGCTTACTCTCCTACCGGACAGGAAGAGAGCTCTATGCGAACGCCTCCGCGTCTCTCCGTCCCCCCCGAACCTAATTTCCATTTGGCCTCGATCAAATCCCGGTTCCCACCCAGATGGAGTTGAGATTCAAATAATTTATATAAAATATTCCGTGTGCATGGGAACAAAATTCAGATCATCCGCTGCTGGGACCAGTCAGAGGGCATTCTTCGACTAGTCCTAAAAAACAGCTGGTACGGACGGAGTTGAGTCCACACACTTTCCCCAGGAACGCTCGGATAGGCGAAGATCAGGTGGCGAGTGAGAGGATGCCTGGTCAACCGGATCAACCAAGCCGGAGTGAAACAGGGGAATCGCCCCCGGAGGACGGAGAACAGAGTACTGAATACGGCTTTTGATTTTTATTTAATTATATTCTCCTTCTAGTCGACTCCGAATGGGTACGGGAGTCCCTCATTTTAGAATTAGAAATTATATTTTAATTTATTTACTCCGTACTATGATGACATTTCTTAATTCCCTCAGAGCTATGCATTGACTGCTTCGATGTAGGACATGACATAACAGACATGGTCACAAGAAGGATTCTCCTTGCGGGCGAGACTGCGCCAGACTGCGCTGCGCCTGCGGCTGCGCGTTCTGAAAATAAAAATGACATGTTCGACTGTGGGAGGCTCGACCTCGACCGCGACCTCGACCGAGACCCGAGAGACGGGAATCTGGATGGATGGCTGGGAACAAATCTGATCCGTCAACGTCATGCGGATGAGCAGGAGAGAAAGCGAATCGCGAACGCGTTCTGCGTTCTTCGTATGGGGATACTCGTACTGATTTACACTCGCGCCGAACTGTTGTGGATGTAAAGTACGTGTATGAAGAATACATAGATTACGGGGCAACAACGCGGCCCAACTGGAAGTGGGGGAGGGCCGCCCCGAGAAGGCTCAGGCTAGGGCTGCGTGGGTGACTGCGACAGGCTGCTTTTTTGTATGCCCAACCACCCCAAATTCCTCCTGCAGTTCCTCGGGTATATCGGTTGTGTGATAATCATATCGGTGTGTGTTGGAGTGTGCTCATTTGTTATAGAATATGGAGTAAACCAGAACTACCGGATGTTGGCTTCCTACTAGTATTCTGTATTGCTTCTTCCTCAGTATGGTGTAGGTACTCCGTACTCCGTACTTATGGGTGTGCTCTGTGCTCGAGTATAAGGTATTTAATTTGATTGTTATGTTTTCTTTTTCCATCTCGCGACTCTTAAAAAACAAAGGGACCAAGAAAAGAAAAGAAAAGAAAATCGATCACAATAAACAGAGTCGAGTTTTCCCAAACTAATTGTATTGGTGGATACTTGCTAAAATACCACAATACTAAAATACCCAAATATTCAAAAACATACCTACTGTACCCCCAGTCTAGCCAAACATACGGTAAATACTAACCAGGAACCCGTCTCCACTGCCCCGGTCCTCATTGGACCATCGCGAGAGGATCCCGTTATTTCGCAAAACAAGAAGGTCTTTTGGGTCTTTTTCTTCATCGACCGTACCAAGTTGTATTGACTCCATCCCCAATAGTCCCCTGCAAAATGCCCACTCTTTCCCCTCTCGCGCCCTCGTGCGGATATCCTTTTCTATCTCTCTTTCCCTCTTTTTCACTCCTCGACAATTCCAGAGTCAAGAATATTCAACTGTGATTTCACTCTCCCTGAACGGTATACAACTATACCAATCCACACCTCCTCTTCTCCTCCACCCTTCCACCCCCCATCTGGATCCTGGTGGACTGATCTGCGCCGGCCTAACGTGGTTAATTTACCGTCCCCACGGCGCCGTCCTGGAGCTTAGAGCTGTCAGCGCGTCAGGGGCTTCCCACGGCCTCCGATCGCTCGAGTTCCCACCCTAAACGGGTCTTCTCCTATTCTGGGTGGAATTCCTTTTTTATTGCTTCGTGCCCGTTCTCTTTGGACTTGGTCATAGAACCTTTTCCCCCCCCCTCCTCCTCCATCCATCCCTCCCCCCCTCCTCCTCCTTTCCAACTACACCGTCATTCCTTACATCTTTAATGGGAGTGACTCCCTCCTTGCTCAACATCAGACCACACATTCGGATGATGACCATTTCGCCCCAATTGAACATCCTTCACTAAATATACATACTCTCGTGGGAATCCAGCCCCTCTAATGTGAGTGAGCACCCACCACCAATCAACCATGTCGCGCCTGACGCTAATCTCCTTCCAAGATTACACATACACTCTTCATCTGCTGGCAGATCCGGAGAGAACAAGATGACAGTTACATACGATACCCCATCTCGGGCAAACCACACATCAATGGCGACCCTTGAGGACCGCTTCCAGGTGATGAAGGAAGTTGGTGATGGTAGCTTTGGTAGTGTGGCCGTGGCCCGTGTACGCACTGCGGGATCCCATATCGCGCGCAGAGGAACCATGGTATGGGAATGATCCAACGATCTGGTGCTGATGTGTGATGACCCCATACTAACAAGACATCCTCTCCTCTAGGTTGCAATCAAGACGATGAAAAAGACCTTCGATTCATTACAGCCATGTCTAGAACTTCGTGAAGTTATCTTCCTTCGCACACTCCCTGTTCACCCTCATCTCGTCCCCGCCCTCGATATCTTCCTCGACCCTCTGTCCCGCAAACTGCACATCGCCATGGAGTACATGGATGGCAACCTATACCAGCTCATGAAGGCTCGTGACCACAAGTACTTCGAAGGCAAGCATGTCAAGAGCATTCTTTACCAGATCCTGTCTGGGTTAGAACATATCCATGCCCACCACTTCTTCCACCGCGACATCAAACCCGAGAACATCCTCGTGTCTACCTCTGCCTCCAACGACTCTCCCTTCAGCCGCTACTCTACCCTCGTTACTCCTCCATCCTCCCCTCCTACTTATACCGTCAAGATTGCCGACTTTGGTCTCGCCCGTGAGACTCACTCTAAACAACCTTATACTACTTATGTCTCAACCCGTTGGTACCGGGCACCCGAAGTGCTCCTGCGCGCCGGAGAATACTCAGCCCCTGTTGATATGTGGGCTGTTGGTGCCATGGCTGTTGAGATCGCGACCTTAAAGCCACTGTTCCCTGGAGGAAACGAGGTGGATCAAGTATGGCGCGTTTGCGAGATTATGGGAAGCCCTGGCAACTGGTACAGTAAGTCGGGCGCAAAGATTGGCGGCGGTGAATGGCGCGACGGTTCTCGCTTGGCTCAGAAGCTGGGCTTCCAGTTCCCCAAGATGGCACCCCACTCGATGGACAGCGTTTTGAACCCATCTATTTGGCCCGCTGCCCTTAGTGAATTTGTCACATGGTGTCTCATGTGGGACCCCAAGAACCGACCAACCTGCAGCCAAGCCATGAACCATGAGTACTTTCTCGATGCGGTCGATCCCATGCGACCCAAGTCCTCAACGTCCTCGCGACTGCTTGGCCGTAAGCAATCTGAGAAAAGCTTCAAGTCTCCCACCCTCACCCCGAACGATTCCCCTACTCTCTCTACCAAGCCTTCCTGGTTCCGCCGGTCACTTATTGGACGCTCTGACAGCCCAGTTCCTGGTGCTGAAGCCGAGAGCCCGGCCAGACCTGCCCCTGTCACCTACAACACGAACCCTGAGGTACCACCAGTCAACAAGGCACGCCCCGCCAACACCAAGCGCGCGACGTGGGCAAATAGTGCGCCTATGCCCATTCTTCCCTCCATCCGCCCCGTATCTCCTCTTTCAAACTCAGTCACCGCTCAAGCCAATACAAATGTGGCACACAGCGAGGCTGCGAATTCTGCTGAGACCGAGGCTGCTAAGAACAAGAAGATTGGCCGCCAATTGTCTGTTAACTCGAACGGCAACCACTACTCTGATGCCCACCGACAGGAGGCTGAGCGGATGCTGAACGGTTCTGGAAACACTACGCCGACTACCAAGGAAAGCTTCTTCTCGCACCTACGTAAACGTGCTCGTCGACTTTCAGGTCGCAATCAGAACGCCGCGCCCGAGGATATCGAGGCCAACGCTGGTTGCATTCCCTGGTCAAATCGCTCATCCATGGCTCTTGATGGGTCCAACCCCGCAGACCCAAAGGCGCACTCCGATCTGACTGATCTGGACAAGGCCTTGCAGTGTGTCAAATACTCTCTGGACACTTCCACACTGAGCAATGTTCCAGTGCATCTCTCCGGCGGTGATGGAAATGTGACCAAGCGGCAATCAATGCCTACCAGCAACCCGGCCCCAATCTCCAGCAGGACACGACGTGCCATGCAGATGACAAGCCACCCAGTTCACCGCTATGAGACACCCGAGGAAGAGGATGAGCTTTTAGACGAGGTGCTCCACTCTGCCAGCAAGGCGGCGCGACGCCTCGCGCAGACCCAATCAATGTCTGCTGGAATACACCGCCAGACGGATAACTCGCGTGCCTTACCGAGCCCGTATCCCACTCCTTCCCCCACGGCCAAGGCCGATGGCTACTTTGAGACTCCTGTGAAACACCACACCAACAAGGCGGACCCTAACTCCAATCGCCAGTGGCCAACACCACCCTATGAGGAGACCGAGTGGAACCAAAAGGCTTCCACCAATTACTTCGCATCGGGAACCAACTACATTTGAAACACGAGTGTTTACTCGACCTCGATGACACCAACCACTCACTCAGATTCTCAACTCGAAATAGAGAATGACCACCAAAAACAAAATTCTGGCGAAAGATTGCGCTAAAAATCGGATACATACCTGGTTTCGGCGTATTGGTTTCGGGGCACTTTTTCTCCAGGTCTGGCAGTTCTGGGTTTTTCTCTTTTTTTTCTTTCTTTCTTACATTTTTCATCTTTCTTTCATACCCCCATAGGCCCTTTTTTGGATAGATGGTTACTGGCCTCGCACACATTTTACCCCCCTCGGTTTTATTTCCCAGGCGATCTCTCATTTTACTTTTGGCGTTGCACATTATTTTGCCCACCACACTTTTCACATCTTCATTTGATACCACATGCGCAAGTCGCATTATATACCATTCCCTACATTTGCATATCCCTCGCGTTTTCCATCTTTGATGAATATAGCGCTTTCCTTTTTTCTTTTGTCTACATACTTCTCTCATCCCTCTCTCTCACTGTACATTGTCATGGCAGAAACTGCCACTCCTGTCTATCGCTTTCCTTCCTTATCCAATTGCTCTCTTGCATCCTCTCTGATCCAATCTTCCTGTTCACTCATTCTTGTATTATCTTTGACCCTCTCCCGGATTGACTGGCTGGCCTCCAGTCTACCTTGTTGTAATATAGCACTTACTCGGCATCTGCCAATCATATACGCATCTACACTTGACATGCATAATATTTATTTTTTTCGCTCATCAACCTCGATTCCTATTAGTTAGATTAAAGTTTAGAATATGCAATGTACCTGGCTTGGTACATTAGACAGCAGACTATCTTCCACACCAATTCTACTAGTGTAGTTCGCATCAAGCAGTCTCCAGGCTCCCAGCGGTTCGGGATCCACCCGGAGTAACAACGGCCCGCCAACATTCAAGTTTCCCAATCAAGCATGCTCTTCACCTTCAACTTTTTTTGACCTCCACAATTTAACACCTAGCTTGAATCGCAGAGGCTTACTTGGCAGAGAAGCTCAAGTTCCGAATTTCCGAGTATATCTCACTCGAACTTCCCGCCACCCAAAAACCGCGGGCTCAAAAAATCTGCGATCAGCGAAAAAAAAACCTACTCTTATCACCTTAATCCACGAGACGAATAGCAGCAGCAAGAGCTAGCTTCATACACAATTGCCCCTCACCGTCCGTTCCGGAAAACAACTTTTCAGAAAGAAGTCCTCCAAAGCACAATAACCACCATCCCAAAATGTCCAACCAAAGACAAGCCTCCTCCGCCTCGCAAACCCCGCACCTCTCCCCAGCCGAACTCTCCTACCTCTACACCTCCCTCTCGCTACCGAAATCCCCCATCCGACCTGATGGCCGCTCACCAACCCAATTCCGCCCCTTGACAGCCGAGTCGAACATCCTCCCCGGAACGAACGGGAGTGCGCGCATTGGGTTCGCGGACGGGACGCAGGCTATCGTCGGCGTGAAGGCGGAGGTTGAGAAGACGGTTTTGTCGACTGATACGCTTGCTTCGAGTGAAGTTGGAGAAGGGGAGGATTCGACTTCGACTTCGGCTGCGGCTTCGGGTCATGGTTCTTGGGTGCAGATGTCTATTGAGATTCCTGGGTTTCGGGATGATGATGCGCTGCCGGTGTTTTTGTCGGAGATGATGCGTGAGTCGTTGGTGGGTTCTGTTGCGGATGGAGGTGGTGATGGTGATGGTGATGTGACGATGGCTGGTGGGTTAAAGGGGAGATTGGTTATTAATAAACGGTGGCACTGGCGGTTGTATATTGATGTGAGTATTACTGAACAAATTGCCCCAATTGCACCCGGGTCTGCCGCACGGCGGACAGAAAAGCAAAAAAAGAGAAGAGAAGAGAAGAAAAGTTTATGCTAATGCTAATACGCTATATCCAGGTCTTGCTTCTTTCTCAACCACTCTCATATCCACTGCCGCTGCTCTCTCTAACGACCCATCTCGCACTTCTGTCGACCAAATTGCCAAAGCTGAAGTCGCAAGGCGAGGAAGATCCCTTCTTCGACGACGACTGGGAGGTTGCGGAGTATCTGTACCCGCGCAGTTCGAACCTCAAGGCTGCTGGCAATGCCTCACAACATGTTCGACCCCCGGTGACCCTGCTTGTTATCTCCGTCGGCGAGAATGTCATTTTCGACCCGAGTCGGGAAGAAATCGCCGTCGCGGATGCAGTTCTTGCCATCTCCGTTACTGAGGGATACGGAGGCTGGTAATTTGAAATTGCTTTCTATACGCACCGTCGACCCGCCTTCTCGTCTCACGCAGCCTGCTGTGCCTAATTCTGAGAATGTGAATATGCTCGGTGCTACGGCTCCTACGGAGGATATTGCTGTTTTGAACCCGGCGACTGGGGAAGAGGAGGTTCCTGGTGTGTGGAGGCCGAGGCGCGGTGGTGTTAAGCGCAGTGTTATTGCGAATATGATCAAGACTGTGCTGAAGAAGGGTGGGGTTGGTGAAGAAGTGCTGGAGGGATTGGAGGGTGTTGAGGTAGAATGATCTTTCTTTTTTGTTTCTTTTCTTTTTCTACTCTCTTCATGTTTCATTTTCAATCCGAGAAAGGGCTGGCGTTTGTGTTGAGAAGGCTTGATTGATTCTTATACCATATCTCGCAATGCAATGAGAGGCGATTCATGACCATGACCTTTAAGTCGCTTATTTCCATAAAAAAAATCTACTAATATACAGATGGAGTGTGTATCCACATTGACATCTCCACGGGTGTGGGTGGGTGTAGTGCCAAAAAACACCGTCCCCGTCTTTTCCCAAATCATACTACCAATCCTGCCTGCACAAGCAGTCTGCTTGGCATTGGAACTGGAGATGTAACTCCCCCAACTCACTTCATCCACTCACAAAATGGAACGATGAAAGGAAACGAAGGAAATGAATTACCAAATCCCAAGCCACTTCTTAGCAGGCTTCTTCTTACCCTCCCAATCAACGATCTCACCATCCGCAGCCTCAACAGCAACAGGCGACTGGTCATCAACAGGTTGAGGAAGGTCTTTCTCACTAGGCTCCTCCATGCCGTGCGCGACACGGTACTGTCTGCGCTTCTCAGCGTCCTCAATGCGACGGTGGCGCTGCTCACGCACGCGCATGGAGTTGTGCTGCACGTCCATGCGGTAGACGGCCATGGCCTGGGAGATGGTGCTGAAGGGTGAGGTGAAGAGGGCGGACCAGGGCGGGAGGAGGTGGGCGAAGGGAGAGCTGGCTTTGAAGTTCGTGGTAAAGGTAAATGTTGCCAGGGAGGTTAGGATGCCCTGGAGATATATTTATTAGTATGCTATGCTATGGAATGGGATGCAATGTGATACGATCAGAGCCTGAGCTTGAGCTTGAAACTCGACGGGTATGGGGAGTGTACTATGTACGCACCATTGCGATCCACACATGAATCCACTTATTCGTCAAGAACTTGTGCATGACCGTCCCCTCTGGCGGGAACATGTTGGGGTATTGCTTTTTATTCTGCGCTTCGCGCTGCTCGGCTGTGAGGCGGGGACCATAGTTGATGGGTTGACCGGAGGGCGAGGTGCGTGCCGGATTGACGAGTCGCTGCGGGTGTGAAGGAGGTCGGAACTTGTCTGGTTGACTTAGTGTCCGGCTCTTGTCGGTATTCCTACCCTTGGATACAGGGCTGGTGGAAGAAAAGCATTGGCGCGGTGCGCGGGTGGTGGTCAGGCCGATATGTTGCTGGTGCTGCAGGGTCCGTAGGGTCCGCGCAGTGGGAAGTCCTCGCGGTAAGAGGAAATGCGGAATAGGAGCGGGAGGCATGGTGGTTGTGAAATGACCGAAATCAATTGCTTCCAGAACTTTTGCTCTGCTTGTCACAATTCCCATCACGGCCGGCGAGCATATCAGTCAGGTGACATGTTGGCACTGTTTGCATTGGTTGGGTTTTATTCAGCCACGTGACATCCCTGACGTTTGGTGCAGGTGACTGACGAACAATCTCGGCCCGCGAAAACCATTAGGAACTGCACCTGCAAGCCCGTTGCCCTTCATTCCTCGGCAGAAAAAAGTTTGCTTTGCTTTTAGCCGAGACCTTCAGGTACAGCACATTTCTGATGCTCGTATCCACAGTCATACGACTGTGGTCTTTTACGAGTGCTAGTCATTGTTTGCATGAGTATTTCTTCTAAAAGTCAGATCTACCCAGCAGTTCACAATCGATCAGTCGGAGGATACATTAGAAATTACTAATATTATGTGGTCTAGACTTTTAATAGAGGCCACATGGTGAGTAGCGAAGTCGCTTCATGAAGGTACTGAAAATGGGTCTGGTGAACTCATCAATAAGAATCCATATATCGGGATGAAGTCATGATAGCTCTCCCCACCGAAATCATCCTCATAATAGTAGATACCACCGAAATAGCATCTCTCTGTTCCCGTCATGGAGGCGATACCGGTCGCTTCTGTGCAATTACGGGTATGGTGGGCTACGACAAGTCAAGGCGATCCAAGACTGCGAGAGGCTCTCCATAAAAAAGTTGGCCATGTCTGTTCCGGATCCACTGCTACTGGGTCAAATCCGGGAAAGCGGATCAAAGCGGGCGAATAACTGACTGCGTATTTCGAAGCCCCGGTGGACCGAAAAAGTGCGCGGCCGTGTCTAAGGGGCTGAAAGGGAGTTCGCCCTTGTCGACATCCAAGGGGCAGTAGGATAGCATTGTGCCCTGGGTCATTTAGAATAGGTTGCAGCAACCAAGGCTGGCTGGACAAAGCGATGGGAGAAAAGCTGGCTAACCAGGGACGCATACAGGAGAATGATCAGCCATGAGGTCATTTCCGGGTGGCAGAGAGCTTTTCGGAAGGAGATACTTAGTACAGAGTAGAGTACTAGGTTACAATTGAACAAGTTGTAGCAGGCTCAGCCAATGCTGAAGTGTATGTATAGTGTATACTTCATACTTCATACTCCATTGTTCTGAAAAGCATTCCCCCTCATATATGCCCTTTAAATAGTATCAATGACAATAAATATGCGTTGTGGTCACTCACCGAAGGCTCCCGGTTGCGCCCGCAGTGCTGAATTAGCAAGACGCTGATTGGCTGATAGGCCCAGATCACGGGGGCCGGGGAGGCGCGGTACAAATAATTGCGAAAACTGTTTCTGGGAAAATCTTGCTCTTCTGTCATCTCCGTCTACAAGTCTGTACAGTCAATTCCCCTTCAATTACCTTTAATACTCTTTCATAATGGGCAAGGAAGCTTCTTTCGCACCCGGTAAGCTCCCCTTGTCATCCTCCCTTTTTTTCTGCCTCGCGAAGCATCCGCGCTGGCCTGGATCCTAGGCTGGTTGGGAACAACTGGCTGCTCGTGTGAAGAAGAGAAACGAGAACTGGCGAAGAGATGGCCTCTCAATGGTCTTCCCGATCATCACCTTGGTCAATGGTGACTGCCATGCGAGTTTGTCAACGGTAGTCACTTGCCGGCGCACCTTCAGCTCGCACCTTCGATCTGATCGCGACACGTCCAAACTCTCTCGTTTCGCACCTTCTACGACTTCTCTCCAGCAATCATTCCCTCGCTTCACACTGCAACGTACCAAGCCAGCCCTACCTTCCTAGCGCCTCGAACTTCGCCATCACCATGACGACCTTTGATGTGTTCTGCACACTGGCCATCATTGATGAGCGCGAAGCCGAGCTTGCGGCCGAGGCAGCAAAGAAAACGAACATCAAAGATACCATAGCTATGACTATGGTGACTAGCAACACAAACAACAGCAGCATTGCTAACGCGACTTTCACTCCAGGTGACTCTGCCAAGGGCGCCAAGCTTTTCCAGGTAAGCTCTTATTCTGCCTGCTTAAAAGAGACAGGGAAACTAACATTGAATGCTTCAGACTCGCTGCGCTCAGTGCCACACTGTCGAGGCTGGTGGTCCCCACAAGGTCGGCCCCAACCTGAGCGGCCTCTTCGGCCGTAAGACCGGTCAGGCCGACGGCTACGCCTACACCGACGCCAACAAGCAGGCTGGTGTCACCTGGGACGAGAACACTCTGGTAAGGATTGCTCAATTCCCGGCGTGAGAGACATGGTGTCGCTAACCCGCATCGCCCTACAGTTCAAGTACCTCGAGAACCCCAAGAAGTTCATCCCCGGTACCAAGATGGCCTTCGGTGGTCTGAAGAAGGGCAAGGAACGCAACGACCTCATCACGTACGTTTTACACAAACACAACAGAGCAGAACCGCCGAAGATCCCCTGCTAACACACTCGTCACAGCTACCTCAAGGAGTCCACCGCTTAAATGACTTGACGCTTTTATTACACACACGGCATTTTCGTTCTTGTTCTCTCACACCCCGTCTCTGGAACAGATAGACGTCTGGGATTGGTTTCTGACGCCGTGGGCCGATTTCCGGGCATTCGAGGGAGCGGGCATGTAATTTTATCTCAGATTACCAAAGGTTGACCCGCAATAGATTTGAATTCTTCTCTCTTATATGCCCTTTTTCCTTTTTCGTTTTTCCTTTTGCTTTGCTTTTTCTTTTTCCCCGCGTCCGTAATAGCTGCACATTGCTGCAGGTACCTTTGGGGGAATTAGTCGATCACGGAACAAGGTCGGCGTGGGCTTGCGTCAAAACTGGGGCACTTGGGGGCACTGGGGGGGGGATCGGGGCTACTTGAGGCCTGGTGCAGGGGGTGGCGAAGGACGCAACGAGTCAAGAACAATTGGACATACCAGAGGGCGAGGGCGTGTTTCAGTGAGATCCATTGCGACACATCGATTGGGCGACAATGGCGGTCAGGCAGGGAGAATGGGGTACCCTGCATGTCACAATAAAGTTGTTTGCTTGCAGATTTACAATAAGTTTGCACAGATTCACAGGCAACAGTGAATGGGAGATACCTAATCAGTACATTATTGGTACCTCGTCAATACTTCAGAAGATCTCCGCCTGCCAGCACTCGAGGGCATCCATGTACACCACATGACCTGGGTTCCCCAAGGCTTGATTGGCCCAGCCTCCTCTGCAAGGTGAGGAGTTCCTCGATCTCCCGCATTGCTCGACGAGGCGCAATCTTCTTCATCGTCTCTGTTGAATCGTTACGAAGTCGTGGTTTAACTGTTGATTTTCGTGGTTGGTTGATTGTTGTCATTCACTGGTTGTCAACTTTACCTTAGGGTAACCCATACTTCACTTCCACCACCAACAAATTCCCCCACCACCAACACCTCTGTCGCATCGCTTCTGGTCGCATCGCAACTTCTAGGCGCGCGGGGTCGATTGTTCCCCAGCCATCTTCTATCGACTGTCAAAATCGCCATTCAACCAGCATATGCAGTTTGTCTTGAGCGCTTCCACTAACCGCCTAGAGACTTCACATTACTACAACTCTCCCAGCCACTCGGCCCACGAAATATTCTGATCGCAAAGACGCCTGCGCTGCGTCACTGCGATCTCCCGATCTGAAGCGCCAACCTCGCAATACGCCGTCCACTATGTTGGACGAGCTAGACAACGTCTTCGACGACCACCCGTCGCTGGACGCCTCACTTGAGGACTTTGAGAGCAACAGCAATGCGCATCGCTCCCCGCTTTACGGCTTGCCCTCGCAGCACTCAGGCTTCCGGTCTGAAGAATCAGACGATGAGCTGGATGAGACACCCACAAATGACCGCTGGTCACCCCCTGGCCTTGGCATACGACAACACGATTATGTTCAAGGAAGTGGATGGTACCGTCACCAACCCTATGCGCAAAAGCATAACCTCCGCAATCGTCCGGACTTGAAACCCACAGTTGGTCGTCTCAGCGTGTCGCCGACAGCGTCGCGCGAAGCAAGCCCGCAGTATGAAGATGCGCCTGAAGCCCCCGCAAAAGGAAGATCAAGTGAGTATGCTGAAAAAGGTGAAGTTTCCATCGCTGCCAATGTACCCTTGCCAAGGGGAGCAGGTACCCCACAGATAGGACGATCCCCCAGTCCTCCTCCAGCGCAACGTCCCGGCGCGACTCGTGAGGGCCCCGACGATGATGGATTGGGCTTTGGCGCGGAGAATCTGAGCAACTGTAGGCACTGCCTGATCTGGGTTTAACATCCCTACTGGAGACGCGGAAGAAACTGACTTGTCCTTTTGCGCATGGCGATAAGACATTCGATTTGCAGTGCGTGCAGAAGTCCAACATCGTGAACCCATTGCTGCCATCTGCGGCTACTTGCGCAACAAGTTCGAGCACATGACCAGTTCGAAATCCAATACGACTCTCTCGGTATTGGTCGTGTTGGTTGCGGTCGCCTTCATGCGCGCTCTATTCCTCCCAGGTCTACCGCAGTCCATCCCGGATCTGGTAAAGCTATCGAGCTTCGCGCGTTCGTTTGAGCCCCTCATCTATTACTCCGAGAATGGCGTCCAGCAGATCGGTACCCTGCAAGAAACCGGGGTCGCCGTTTGGGACCTTAGTGAGTCAGTGCGCGGAACAAATATGACCAGCGCGCCTATTATCGTGCGTCAATTAGATGAGCTATCTGATTCACTCAAGTCTCTATCTCTAGAGTTGACACGTTTCTTTGCAAACGTCGACTCAGATATTGACTCCATCCTGATCGTGATGGATTGGGCCAAGCGTGAGCTCGAAACTTTATCTGCACAACCTCCAAGCTCTTTACCTACAGTTGTTTTCGACAATGTCCACAACATGTTCTCACGATTAGGTGCGCTCGAACGTCCCACAGAGCTGGCCGATGGTGGCGTAACAACACCATTTGGACATGTCGTGATGGCAGTCTTTGGCCAAACATCTGCACAGCGCACCCGCGCAACCCTCACACGAACCTTCAGCGAATTTCTCGCCGTCCTCGAAGAATCAATCAACAGCGAATTGACCCACTCAACCGCTCTTTTCGCCTTATTTGAATCAATAGATCGGCAATTCCTAAACCTGCAACGCACCGTCGTCCGCGAATCAGATGCCCAAGAACGGGCTGAGGGAGAAATGCTTAGCTCCCTCTGGACTCGCGTCCTCGGACCCAATGCTGCAGTCGTTCGCAAGTACGAAAAGAATAAGAAGCTTCTCGCCAACGTTCGGAGCCGCACTGTCGCAAACAAACACTTGCTTGTTGATCACCGCGGCCGTCTCCTCACACTGAAAGTGAATCTTGAAACGCTTCGGCGGAAGCTAGTCAGTCCGCTGGTGCGGCGCAATGATTCGGTCAGCTTTGTCGGCATGGAGGGGGGCTCTTCGGGGTCCGGCAGTTCCAATGCGGGACGCATGCTCGGTCCCGTCGAGGCTGTTATCGATGGACAGATCCGTGGGTTGGAGGGTACATACGATTACCTCCGATCTGTCCGGGAGCGCCAGAAAGCGAAGTTGATGGAGATGGTCTATGGTTCCGGAAGGAAAGCACCGTCGTCAATGTTTGCAGGTCTGGAAGGACATGAGGAGGCGATTGATGGGTAACTAATGTGGTATCATGTGTGTTGTGGGTTCAGCAGGCTTTACCTTGTCATGATTTGTTGTTCGAGAACTCCCCTTCCTCTTTTCTCTCTACTCTCCTTTCTCTACATCAGATATGGTGTCATTTATTTTTATTTTTATCCTTTTTCTTTTATCTCTTTCTTTCTTTCCTCATTTTTGGCGTTTTGTGTCTCTTCCAAAGGGTCCCATTGGCGGGCTCGGATGGTGTCTGAGGCATTTCTTTGGTGGATGCCACACACACGGAAGGCGGGTATCAACTGGTAACTATTCTGGATCACATAATAGGGGCAGGTTCTGAGGCGGTTGGCGTTTCTATCTCTCCTTATACTCTCTCCTTTTGTCTTTGACCTCGGCTCGAACCCTGATTTCTCATATATCTGTGGTTTTTCTTTTTATGGGTGCACAGGGTGAAATGTGGGCGCGTGAGGTAAAAGGATAGATATAGGGTGGCACATATTAGTTCTTCATTTGTTTTGGTTCTTCCTTTCTATAAGGAATGCATTTCGTTTGGAAATCTATCTGGAAGGTGTGTAGTGTATACCTGGTACGCGTTTTTCACTCTATAGGATTCTAGAAACATAGTACTAATATAGTGGCCTGATGATACTTCACTTGACCCCCTGAGTAGATCCCAAGGCTGTGCTTTGGGACTAAAGTTGCCGTTGTCGAACTGCCAGTGACAAATAAAGTCGAATTCCAATCGGAGGCATACTAAATTTAGGTCAAACTTGAACTGCATGCATGTAGTACTATTCACAGAAGAGCCAAGAGGTACTTACGTTCCAAGCATCAATCCTCAACAAGCTGACGTTCTTAGTGGTCGGGATACCCGACGTCAAAAGTCCAACCGCTATAGTAGGTAACAAGGAAGTCAGACGTCATGTTCAAGCACATAAATAATCCCCAGAGAACCCTGGAAGAGAAGACTCACCAAGGACATTATTGAGCCAATAATACTTCTTGCTTGCCGTTTCAAAGACAATCCGTAGATGTAGATGACCATCTGGGCCTTTTGGCCCAGAAGTCCGAATATAGATGTCAGCGCCATCATTCGTTCGCAGATTGTATCGGGTGTCCGCTGAAAAGATGTTTGTTCGAGGATCAGTGAGGCCCCAGTCCGCTCCGACGTCAAGAATCTTGCCTAAATCAGGATGAGGATATTCTCATTAGCTTCCTCGACTCTCTCTAAGCACTACCTATACTAGTAGTCAACATCGCGGGAATGCTTCTCACCCGAGAGACGGGGACCGGTAAAGTTACCCCCAACGATGGGAATTGCCTTTCGTATGCCGTGAGGACCAGCGACTTCGGTCATGAGATTATCATCACACTCAACATAGGCAGTGTAGAGGAATTGGAGAACTGGTGGTTCGGGTGTGACGACAGTGGAGATGGCCAGTCGTGTACACAAGAGAAGAGAGATAAATGGACCATTAACATGGTCCAGTTGCTTTGAAAAGACATTGTTTATGGCTGGGGCTAGGTATACAGGCAAAGAGATTCGGCACACCAAATCAACTTGAAAGAATTGAAGAGATCGCTTCCTAAAATCAACCTGCCTAGAGAAATATCTCACCTTTATGTTGAAGGAAGAGAGAGTCCCCGGTAGATCCTCGGAATATCCGTCTTCAACTAACTACCGAGCCCCGCATTATTGAAACGGTCACTACACAAAACATGCACTGATCTTCAGATTGATAGCCCTATGAAGCAGACGATCAATCTAGTCGATTGGAGGATCTTAATTTCCGTGTGGATTTCTGCGTAGGTCGATCTTATATACCGAGGCATTTTGTTCGTCTGCTCTATCGTGTGCCGGATTCTGCTGCCGGCCCCAGATCATAGCATCTCCACATTCGTTGGAGACCCCGCTAACCCCAGGATTCCAGGTATAATGATTATTTTTCTGAATATTCTTGTCGATTACTGTTGTTTACTTTGTTCTCCCAGAACCTGTGTCTTCTATTGAGATGATGTTTGTTTCTATTTCCATAACTTCGTCCAGTATTGACTATAGGCCATATTTTAGGCCCCATATCATGCCACATAGCACATGGTCATACATAGATGTAACAGTACGGACCAGCTGTTGTACTCATTATATCCTTCATAGCAATGGGATCCCCACCCGCATAACCAACATCGATAACCGTATCAAGCGTCGTATTCGCCGATGGAGGGTCATTCAAAAAAGTACCTGTCCCCGAGATTGCGTCCCCACGAGCCTCCCAATCCAAATTCTGCCAAATCCACCAAACATAGTCGATCATACCATGGTGATGCCAGAAAGCCGGATCACCAGGGCTGACAAAAACATCACGGCCAGGATCACCACCCATCGCGAAATGACCGCCACCGTGGACGCCAATGACTCCTGAATCGGGAAAGCCTTGCATAGTCATTTCAAAGTCCCAGACATCGTTGCTCTTTGTGATAAGATCCACGATGTCGGAGAATTTGTTGAACTTTTGCAGAATCGCGCTGGTCAAGTCTCGTCGCAGGCACCGGGGATTGTAGTCTAGAGGATGTGGGCTCACACTGATGTTGCGACCGGGTACGACTAGATCTGCTGGTCCCATGCTGAGTATGTAGTCTTTAAAGGGGCCGCTGGTCACGCAGCCTCCGCCACTGCCAGCAGGAAGATAGATATCTGGGTAGCCGCCCAGTACCAATTTGACATCGGGTTGGTTTGGGATATAAGCCCCGTTGCCTGACATAGAAGTGTCGCTTCCATCGAAGACTTCGGACTTCTCCATCTTGTCAACGTCGGCACCCCAATTCCAATATCTATTTAAGAGCGAGTATTTTAGTAGGGCGCTGTGGAAAGGAATTCGTAAATAATAATAATAAGTATACGCACGGTATATCACCTGTATAGCTACACTCATTTCGCAAGGCTTGTTCAAAGCTCCAAACAAAATGCCTGTGCCATGCCAAAAATGTTCCCTTCTCATAGTCAGTGATATTCTCAATATGATAGCATCAAGTGCCGAAGTTTTGACATACCGTATAATGGATTATCAGCGTCTGATTAATATGAGTAGCCACAAAGTCATCATATCGTGACTTGGTTCCCGGGCAAGCTCGTTGGGGGTTTGAGATGGTAAGTCCTGCAAGCAAAGCACGGAGTTTATATAAGCCTTCTTCTCTTTCCGAGTGAAGGACCTCCAATCACGACGGATCCTCATGTTTTGCTGAGTACATCCCTCGTGTCGCAGGGGGGCGTGTGTAACATCAGAAATCACTGCATCGCGTGCGATCTCAGCTAGCCGCTGAAGCTGAAATTCAGCTTTTACCGACGAGTTAGATGCCCATGTGGCTGTGGGCAGCACTGGAGATGATGGAGATGGTTTGCTCCCATGTATGTATTTAGGAAATGAACTTGAAGGAATTGCATATGTTTGCAGGGCAAGTAGGATGCTTATCGCGAGGACTGGCAATTTGGCGGTAACCATGGCGGTCCAGCAGGTACCCGAAACTTGGGGCAGGTACTTCAAGTTTTAACTATAGGGCTTCTCGAAGGTGGAAGAAAACTAAACTCGCATAATGGCCACGAGGGTGCCCAGCTAGATAAGCAATTCGATTGCACCTGCATCCGAACTCGATCGCCGATTTATTTTGGACTACATAGTGGGGGACCGGGAACCTTACACGCTGATGCTGAAGCCAATTCTCTTGGTAAAACGTGCCTCCGGCCGGGATCTGCTTGCCTTCCTCACCCCGGGGGGCGGGGGGGCCTGCCCTTTTGGATCCTTTTGGATCCTTTTGGGTCCATTTGGGCTCTTCCTGCAGGGGTTCCACCGGACTGAACTTGGGCCCCCCCAGGTGCCTGAAGCCCTGGTGAACCCTAAGCCCCCTTCCATCCCACCCCCGGAGTTAAAAATACGAGCAGACGAAACAGATGTCGTCTATTTTCTACATTTAGAAAAATTGTGGCGAGGAAATTCTTAGATCATCTCGTTATCGAGGATAGAAAACACACACGGTATCCTATCTGATCGTGGTCTCCACTTAGTTGCAGCTCCTGTGCAGAACTTAGGGCTCGGAACAGCCAAGGAAGACCAGGCTGGCCCCGCTAGTGTCAACCCACAGAGTTTTGTTAAATGGCATGTCAATTCAGACTTCTTTAGCTGCTTTCTGTGCCGGTCTAGGGGTTGGGTCTGATTGGACATGATTTCCAGACGGCTCGTAATGAGCCCGATACTCATCCCGCGCCCAAAGACAAGCTGCGATGACTCGGAGTAATACCTTAAAAGGGATTATATTGCTGCGGGGTGACTATAGCCTTTGAGACTATTAGATTGAAGCGGGTGAATTTGATTATTCTAAGAATCTTGGGTTACATTGTTCGACATCCTAGGGCGTGGAATCATCTCTCTAGTAAGTATATTTCTATAATAGCAGTGGCGATGCAGAAATTCTATAAAATGCGAAGCCTTGCAGGCAAACTATGCAACAGCTTTAAAAAGCTGCTCAAACAACTCATCAGAGTCAGGCCCAATTGGATTAGCCATGGTGATTGCTTCTTCAACATCCCCCGGTGGGTAGATTAGCTTTTGATTGATGGAGCATTTGACCCGTTTCGCCAGGTCCCCCGTCAGCTTGACTTCTTCTCTATCCCAGCCCCCAGAGATAACGGTGCCCCAGGCCCCCAGATCCAAACAGCAATTGTAAGCAGGCTGGTCATATTGTACCAGAGCCTCGCCGAGGAGTTCCGCAGCGGCATTGTGACCGGATACGCGACCCAGGGAAAGAGCATGCTGGCAGGACATCAAGGCAAAGTGACCCTTGTCGTCGGCAGCCGCCTGAGCAGTATCACCCGTAGCGAAGATATTCTTGAAGGATGGAACTCGAAGGTGTCTATCGACCAACAGGCGAGCCAGGCCGTCCTTGGGGGCGGGAATTTGTTGAGTCAAGGGCGATGCTCTGACCCCAGCGGTCCAAATAGCCGTCTTGGTTTCAATGCGTTCCCCAGACGCAAGAGTGACACCATTTCCATCGATAGCGGAGACAAGGGATCCAAGCTTGACTTGGATACCGAGTTCGTTCAAAGCCTGGGTAATGATAGGACGCGGACCTGGCCCGAGTTCAGGGCCAAGCTCATTTGCGCCTTCGACAACCAAGATCCTGGTATTTGAGTTTGGCAGTCGCTTGGGCAGCTCGGTGGCCAGCTCGATTCCAGTGAAGCCGGCGCCACATACGACGATTGTGTCACGGGCAGGGCTTGCTGGAAGCGAGCCAAGGTTTTGAAGATGGGATTCAAGCTTCACTGCCGAGTCCAAGGAGTCGATATCAAACGCGTGCTCGTGGATACCAGGAATGGATTTGGGTCGCACGACAGAACTGCCTGCTGCTAGGATCATGCGGTCGTAACAGATGGTTGACTCGGTACCGGAGGGAGAGTGGACAAGGACGGTGTTGTTTTCGGCGCTGATGGTATGAACGAAACCTTCAACAAATTGAATGCCTGCTTCCTTAAAGAGAGTCTCGACAGAGTGTGTCATCTGGGAGACATTGGCCTCATAGAGACGTGGTCGAATGACCAGAGACGGTTTTGGGGCAATCAGCAAGATTTCGAGCTCGTTCTCTCTTTGGGTGAGTTTCGCGAGGCGTTTGGCGGCGAGAGCACTCCAGATGCCGGCAAATCCGGACCCGATGATGACGATTCTCGGCATTTTCAGGTTGTGGAAGTGGTTTTAATACTTCGGTAACCTTGGAATACGATGCTTTGCAGAAATCTCCAGTGCTCTCAGGCTGTCCTGTGTAGTGGTAGTGTAATAGTGCTGATTCTGATTGTGACTCCCCCCACTATTATACTAGTATTTCAGGTTTAATTTCTAGAAACAAGTTGATTTGACCGAGGCTACTGGCTACTAGGCTATCCGATTACGCAGGCCATTGAGTAGCACTATACTAGTACTACTATTTACTATTAGTACCCATAGTAGTAAATCGGAGTTCGGGTATCCGCTTCCCGCAGTGGATACCCGATGAGTTCCCGCGATCACTTCGAGTACCCGCATTTCTTCCATCGACGATCTGCCGCCATGACCATGTCATCTTCTCATGACATGACACCTCCCCAGAATAATTCTAGAGCTACGCGCTCATCCTTAGCCTGTTTACCATGTCGCTCGCGACACCTCAAGTGCGACGGGAAGCGACCATTTTGCGCCCGTTGCTCCGAATCTGACCAACAATGCCACTACGCTCGATCGCGTCGCGGTGGACTAGATCGCGCGGCCCTGGCAGAGCGTCGCAAACGACTTTCGGGCCTCGATAATACCGATCAGGTCAAAATCGCGGCTAACTGGAGCCCGCCGCAAGGGGCTGTGGGAGCTCAAGGCGAGCTGGATCTCACGTCACAATTCATTGAGGCGAATTCCGACAATGGCGGTGGTCTGCTCGATGGCATCGCTCTTGGCAATGCGACCTCCAATGCCGACTCGCCAGGATCAGCCACCTCTTGTCAGGTTGAGATGACCGACATAGAGAAGGATTCCCTGGTTCATTCTTACTACAAGAATTTCCATCGATTCCTCCCTCTACTCCTACCCAGACGCCACATGACCAGACACTACCAAAATTCGAACCGCCAGCTGAGCCTGAAACCCCTGATTGCAGCCATGCGCCTGATTGGATATATTTACAACTTCCACGAATGGTCATCCGCCTTGCAAGACCACGTGGAAACATGTCTAGCCCAGGCCATGCCGTCAGATCCAGTCGTGGTCCAGGTTCGCCTATTATACTCTGTGGCCCTGTTTTGGTACGACCATAAAGATCAGGCTAAAACGGAAATGGACGATGCAATACGACTAGCCCTGGATCTGCAGATGCATCATGAAGAATTTGCCGTCAAAAATGGGGCCGAGGATCATGTAATCGGGGAAAGCTGGCGACGAACATGGTGGATGTTGTACACTGTCGATGCATATTATGCAGGGACCCTGGGAACGATGGAGTTTCAAGTGATGGAGGTCGATGCAACCGTGGGGCTGCCTTGCGAAGAGCAAGAATACGAGTCGGGAGTACGTTGTCACACCCTTCTGCTTAGTCGATTTCTATTATCTACACCCCCTTTGGATATCACCAGGGCATGATTAAACGCGCTGACCTCATGATAGGTGATACCTGATCCAAAGACGCTGCAAGATTTCGATTGTCGAGAATTTTCTCCCGAGGATACGGTATTTTCTTCGTTTGCATACCTCATCGGCGCCGTAAAGTGCACGGCTTTGGCGATATTATCGGCCCCCAAGAAGGCGGTAAAAGAGGACTCGCCACATGTCATTCAGGCCGCCGACTCAGCCCTCGATGGATGGCTGCTTCTTTTGCCAAAGGACGGCAAGCAGGTGATGACCAAGTCTGGTGAAATCGACGAACTGATGTTTCAAGCGCATTTACTGATACATGTGTGGGTACTCTCCTCGATCATTACCCTCTGTCTTAAAAACCTGGCTAATAGGATAACAATATAGCGCGAGTATTGGCGTCCACAGACCACTCTCAGACCTAAAATTCAATCCCATTGAAGATATCTCAAGCTGCGCTCGAGATCCGCCTCCCGATAATCCTACTCCGGAGTTGATTAATGTCCATACTGTTCGAGTCATCCGAGCAGCCGAGGCCCAGATTCGTCTTCTGGCGTTGCCGGTTCGACCATTTCACCACACACCCTTCTCAACATGCATGATCAGCGAGGGCACTTTGGCACTCCTATCTGCCTGCCATTTCCTGCTAAAAGGGCCTAAACTGGCCATAGCAAGAGATCAGATTCGGATGACAATCGGTTGCCTCAAGACACTGGCTGACTTTTGGCCAAGAACTGCGAGAAATCTTCGCGAGATCCAAACTATTGCTCACCATGTGCTAGGACTTGGGTCCAAATTCACAAGCAATAGTGGAACTCCTTGTTCTAGTGACCTACCACAACTATCTGGTGGCAGTGGCCAGGGAAGCTTCGGGTCGGAGGGTGAAGCCTCGAGCAATGACACCGATATGCTTCCTCTTTTAAGTTCTATCGATGATCTATGTGGATGGTACAATATTGGTGACTTGAGCACCGATTTTGGATGGGATATGAATAACGTTTCATGATTCAATTTTACGGAGCTCAGGCACCTGCTCAGCCTTGAGTCTGTGTGTGCTGGCTCGCCGGATTTTCTTTTGGGCTTCTTTAAATAATTTAATAGTACTAGTATATAGTATGTATATAAAACACAAAACACTATTATCACCTGGGCAGCAACTGCGGGTTATTGTCACTATTTGAATTTCACTTTTCACTTTTTGTTCACTTTAATAGCTTGCCTAAGGTGGCTTTGGACTTTTCGCTCCCGATATGCTATTTTCATTGATCGGCTATGTCTCATTAAACTTCAAAATCCCGGGAAAAAAAGTTTAAAAAGGAAAAACACAATAATCCGTTGCTATGTTATTCTCATACAAAGCTGATCACAGCCTTGTTTCCACGACCTCGCTGTCGAGCATACGCCCATGCCTTGACGGAGTCATCAAAGGGAAATACCTCAACCTTCAAGGGCTTCACTAATCCACCATCAATCATCTCACCCAGTTGACTAAGTCTCTCAGACTCCGGCGAAAGGATAAAATGCTTATACCGGACACCAGGATGATCAACCGCCTCGGGAGCAACGCCCTGTCCAAAAGCCCATGATGGCGCAGGATCTCCAATTGTGATCAGAGTACCATTATCCTCAACAACCTTCCAACACTTCTCCAACACTTTCCCTCCAACCGTATCGAAAACAAGACCCACCTTATCAAACTGTGTCTCCCACCCCTCAATCTTGTAATCGAATACCTCATCCGCACCCATCTTTCTCAAAGTCTCATGGTGTTGAGCCGAAGCCAGACCAACAACATGAGCCCCAAATTTCCACTTGGCAATCTGCACCGCCAAAATGCCCACCGAACCAGACGCACCCGTGATGAAGACCCTCATGCCTGACTTGATCCCGCCATGATCCAATAGTGCCTCATACGCAGTCAGAAGTGGAATTGGTAGCGCAGCCGCTTCTGCGTGCGATATCGATTTCGGCTTCAGGGCTACCTCATTGCCCGTACAGATCGCATATTCAGCTTGGCCCTCGCCCCGATCCGCTGAGATCATTGCAAAAATCTCGTGGCCGACTTTGAGTGGACCGTTATAGTTTGGGCCGAGTTCAGAGACAATGCCTGAAATGTCGTGGCCTGGGATCCTGGTTGCCCGGTTGTATGGTTCAGGCCAGGTTATTTCGTCGCCGGTTATACCAGCGGCGTGGACCTTGATCAGGATCTCCGCATCTTTGGGGACGGGTTTGGTTATTTCATTGTTTGTGGCGACGGTGGGGGAGGATGGTTCTCCTAGGATCTGGACGGCTTTCATTGTCATGGGAATAGTGTTGACTTTCCCTGGGAGGTATGATGTCGTGTGAGTATTGTGTTGTGAATGGACGGAAAAATGGAGTAAATAGTAGGTCTTTGGTTCAGGGGTTTGATTCTCAAGTTAAATAAGAGAAGCCGTTGGTGGAGGGTGGGATTGTTGTCATCCCATGCCTTAGGAACAACATCGGTTACCCGGATACCCGGGCTGGGCTGGTTGGACTGGCTGGGCTGGGCTGCTTCGAAGTACCTCAATAGCCTAGTGGATACTCGCCATGATCTCGTCATTTCTTCAGCAGAGACCTCGAAGTGGGGCCCTTCCTTTTTCACGGACCTTTCTTTTCAACCGGAGAAATTAATTGCTGTAGAGATGTGGCAGCATACATAGTCAACTCAAGAAATCGACATCAAATTCACTCAACCGCATATCTTAGGAGGATGTTCAATTCTGATACCTCATGTCGCACAGCATTAGCCAGTCCACACCGCCACCTCTAGTAGTCTTCCATCCTACTATGTACGGAGTACACATGTCATCATGATTGTCTCTCTCATTCTCAAGCGGTATTATTCACAGATCCAGAATGCTTCAGAAATCCTAGAATAATGATATGGGCCTTTTCATGGGCCTATGAAGCTAAATTTTGAGTGAGTACATATACATTCTGATACTAGTAGCTAACAGACTTGATTGAGTCACGGTACTTCACCCCCACTTCTTGAATTCTACTATAATACATAGTCATATACCCAGGTGGGTATTAGATCCAATCAATCAAAACGTCAAGACAGTTGCTATACAAAATTCCAAACATGACCGATGTTACTCGTCATCTGCCCGGCAAAGCAACCCACTATGAAGATCGTAGTCCCATTTATCACTCCCGATGCCACTCTGCACAAAAATACTCTCACTCGGATCATACTCAAGCTTGACATCTAACAAGCGATCATAATTGACGCCATAGAAATCTTGCTTCCAGGTACTCGAGAACGGATTTCCTTCATTCATATAGGATCCGGTATTAGGCCCCCATTCTCTCCAAACAGGCTCCTTAACCTTCTCATAGAAATTAGCGGCTATTTCAAGCCCAGTCTTAGCATCACCGGACTCATTGAATGAGGAGCCGTACGCCATAACGTGAGCATATGCCGAGCGCCAAGCAGGAAGGACACTCCCGCGCCTTTTCTCGGCAATCTTGGCAGGACCAGGGCCACCCTGCAGGCCGAAAAGAAGCATTGCTCCCCCGCGCGGGATCCTGGGAGACGGAAATGTTTTGGAGATAGTGGATTAATTTTTCTCGTGGGAGGTCGGATAATTCTGCTCTTCCTAGAAGTCTGCTGGTGAATAAACTAGCAGACCCTGCTGACTGGCTTGATAAGTAGTTGGGCTTGGTAGATGACCAATAGCTTGAACTTGTCGGAGGAGTAAATGAGAGATTGAGATATCCGTGTCGGTGTCCGATATTTGTGATTTTCGTCGCGAGTTGGTGAATAGTATCATTCATACGCCGCGCGGAAGAATTGAAACCGGTCAAACTGATAGTAACAACGGGACCAGCCTGTTCTCCCGTAACTGACATTACAGTTCCGGTGATTCCCGCGTCCATCAAGTTCGGTATCTCGGAGGCAATCTCGGCGAGAGCTGCCCACGAAGCATTTCCATTGACACTGGAATTGAATGACAATCCACCGCTAACAACGTTCGCAGGAACGGGATGAGTTCGAAGAACAAATTCGGTTATAATGCCAAATTGACCCCCGCCCGCTCCTCGAACTGCCCAAAAAAGATCCTGGTTCTGCTGGTCATTGGCGACCAAACGGCGCCCATCGGTGGTCACGATAGTAACTTGATATACTTGGTCCGAAGCCAGGCCGTATGTACTGGAAAGAAGGCCATGGCCGCCATTTTGGATCAGTCCGCCCAGGCCGACGGTGGCATCTTCGCCTCCGACAACGGTTCTGTTCACGCGATGCGCGGCTGTGTAGACTGAGCCCCAGTTGTTTCCACCGCCGCAGATCATCACATCTTCGGTCTTGTTGGTTCCGGGTATCTTCCATGAAGGTTCGTGTTGTATGTAGTTGAAATTTTGCGTCCAGATAGAGAGTGAATATGCTCCAGTTGATCTTGAACAAAAAGAAAAGGTTAGAATGGAATGGAAAAGAAATTGAAGATCTAGCAGGAATTCAACACATACCGACCGCATAGATCATGTCCGGTAGACTTGATGACAATTCGTATATTATGATCAGACGCCCATTTCATAGCTGTAGCAACCTGCTGCTCGGTCGTGGCATTGACGATGTATCGAGGTAAGCCCCCGACGCTGCAGCCTTTTTCTTTGCTATATCCAGAAACACCTGGCGGTAGGCAAGAGTTATTATTCCAGATGGAATAATCATTGCTCTCTGGCCAGAGGCCATGATAGTAAGCATAAGACCAGTGGGATTGCACCTCGCTGCAGCTGTGTGGTGATCTGAAAGGGTTTCCGGGGTAGCAAGAGGAGCATACGGGGGCGGTTTGAAGTAGAGCCCCCCTGAATGGATTGATTCAATGAGGTCCATTCCCCGGTCGATGGCCAGGTTGGATCATGAGGGGATGTTTTGCATTTTGATGATGCTATTACTGGAGACGCGGCCAGAAAAGCAAGAGTAATGAAAGTAAAATGCATGGTGATGGCATCGGGGGAGATCTTTCGGGGGATTTGAACTGGACTATTTATATATATTTTGGACAATTGAAAGAGGCATATGTAACACGAATACGATATGCTTTAAATACATTCAAATTAATATGGAGATCAGGAGAAAAGGTCGAAGCTTTCCAAGGTTCAGGTTCAAGTTCTCTCTGAGAATTTCCTTGTTCGGTATAAGAAAACGAATACGAGTGGGTCGTGATCGGCCACGAATTTCAGGTAAAATTAGGCATCAGTCCAACCTTCAAGGAACTCGGCTGGATACTAGTATTGCGGTTTCTGGGTGATTGGCGGGTCATAGATAAAGTTGGTTCTCGATAAATCGCAAATCAAATTCTTCTATTTTTTATCTCACGTAGGTAAATTGCAGTCAAGATATGCTAGTAGTTGATGCTGTTGAGAGCAGCAAATGCTGCCCGAGGACCTCCAGTCCACGCCTACCCTCCATGATTTGTATCTAGTGGTAGCTAGATCTCTGTCTATCTGTCTATTCAATCAAATAGTACAACCGCACTGTCCTTCACGATTTCTGGGCCCAGGGCCGCAGCAAGCTCGCCAACAATCCCCTTAACCGACTGCGGGTTGTTGTAGGCCATTTTTTCCCAGCCGACAAGGTCCTGCAGATCGTCATCAGCCGTTTGATCACTGAAAAATAGCACATAGCTAGGCAGTTTCCGACTTACACTGAAATGCACAAACGTTCCATGGTATAGTAGATTCCAGTTTCCGAGGTTCAATGCATTGACTTGGTCCAAAGTCAAGACGCCTGGCATGTGGATGTCGAATAGCGAGAGCGCTTCTTCGTTAGCGAGATCGACGGATTCCTCCTTAGGAGGTGAGTCATCGGCATTGGATGATCGATCTCGTGACAGGGAGACGTAGGGGCGGGAGTCCAGCTTTTTCGAAAGCTCCCCGTCAAGTGGATCCCATCCGTTAGATTCGGGGTCTGTGAAAATAATCAGTGAGATGAGACCTAGACTGCAAAAAAATGAGATTGGCCTGCTTACCAAGGATGTACTGGGGCCGGAATGTTCCCTTGTAGCGCATCTTCTGGCAGTTGTGGATGTAGTAGCCTACATGAAAGTCAAAGTCAGCTTCTAGAGGTTCGGGAAGGTGGCCCAGATTCACATATACTGACCCATGTAGTAGTAAGGATATCCATTTTCCTGTGCAAAGGCAATCTCACGCAAAGCGCTCAGTTTTCCAAATTCCCACTGTTCATAATCAGGATCGTAACTTGGGAAGTTGTTAGCCCGGCTATTTATTTGATGGAAGGGCCCAAAGAAGTAAGTACTCACAAGACATAGACAGAGCTCACTCCGCTCGGAAGCAGATCCAGCACTGCTACGGCGATTAGCTTCCCATCGAGTCGATAGCATTGATGCCACGAGCCAAGTTTTTTATCGGATTCGTTCGACTTTTTCACCTCAACAGGGGATCGTTTAATGCCAGAGCACAGAAAACGTGTAAAGTCCTTCACCTTCCACTTGGAGAGGTCTTCCTTGTGGACGGTCGTTTGATACTTGAGGAACAAGTCATATTTCGCCTGTGAGGGAGAGTCGGCCTCAATGTTGACCTCGAAACGATGGGCTGGTTCGATGGGCCGCTTGGTGGAAGGGTCAATGGGACGTTTGATGTGACTGTACTGGGATTCATGAACAGCGGACAAAACATCAAAGTTGCACTTGCGGAACTTCTTTTCCCTGTTGTAAATTTTTAGCAAGCAGGTTTTCATATCGTTAGTTTCAAGGAATACCTACTCTCGTGTGCGTGGGCAGAGCCGAGCAGCCTTGCGAATGTACTCGGGGCCCAGGATGTAGTTGTTCCAGCGATTGATGGCCTTGCGCTGATCCCGACGTGACTGGTAAGCCGAGGCCTCCAATCTCAGGTGTAGTGCGGACAGCAGGAACGCCGCAGATTCTGTTTGTAGTACAGATTGCCCGATCTAGATGAATATGAGTCATTGGACCGGGTGGCTTTAGGGGCGAATGAAACAAAAATGGAAAGAGAAAAAGAGAAAAAGAAAGAAAGAGGCGAATGGTACGCACCGTCTCCAGCCCCGATCGACGAGAATGCCGTAGTGCTCGGGGCGCACGGCTACGGAGCTGGTGTAGTATGATGCGCCTGGACCATGACGTGTCAGCGAATCTTTCCTGAAGAGGGGCAAGAGAACAAGAATGACATACTTCCATCGTCTGATTTGCAGTAGCCACAGGAATTGCGTTGGTAGCCTGTCGGACAGGGCGAATTAGTGACAGCGATTGAAGTGGTTCGGATCGGCGTGCAAGTAAGTTGATAATCCCCCCCGCCAAGTTGGCCCCTCCAAGCGCAGCCACCACAACCAGTGGAAGCGCCACGGGGGAAGAGGGGCCTATGTCAGTGGCTCACTGCAGGGAAGTGGGACGGTACCTAGTGGTCGGAAGAGCGACAGCTGTCGCGCGCGTTCGGCGTCAACGGCCTCCATCGGGTCAGGACCAGAGAGAATCGATTCGAGCAGAGCAGCGCGAGCGGGTTTGGTCGTTGGTCGGCGGTCCCGGCGGAAGCAGGAAATCGGGGACTGGCTGGGTGATGCGAGCAAACACGGGTGGATCGTGGCCAGGAACAAGTAATCGTAAGAATGGACGCTTAGTGGAGGGGAGGAGAGAGGAGGGGAAAGCAGAGGAGGGGATATGTGTTGTTGTGGAGAGGTTGGAAGGGGAGAATCGGAGAGGGAGAGGGAGAGGATGTGGGATGTGATGGATAGGATGTATAGGGTCAGGTATGGCGGGGCTGTAATATTTTGTATAGGGAGAAGTGTAGATGGAGGGATTACTAGATGGAGGAGAGTAGGAGTAGTAGTAGTAGTAGTAGTAGTAGTAGTAGTAGTAGTAGTAAGCTATCCTATAGCTGAGTCGACCTGCCATAGTTAGCTAGCTGTGTTAGATGCCTCCCTACCTAATCAGGCTGTATAGCACGGTGTAGTATAGCACTAACATCAACTATAGGATAGTATATAGGATAGTATATAGTATAGTATATCGTATACTAGTAAAATATACTGTAATGAGTATACTTGAGTATACTCAGAATATAACTATACTTAACTACTACAGTGTATACTATACACTGTACACTATGCTATACGCCGATATGTATGGTACGGAACTTAGTCAGTCGTAGATGCCCCTCCCACCATCCACCGTCCTCCCCTTCAACTCTCTTCCTCTCAACCTTTCCCTCTTACTTCTATTCATCATGCCTATTACCACTTTTTCTCAATCCAATACTTCCTCTGCCACGGGCATGAATGGGAAGACTTAACCGAGTTCCACCTATCGCCTCGCCTCACCTCACTTCACGCTCAATCGCCCCTCTCTGGGAAAAAAAAATTTCCTGTTCCGAACCGCTTTCAGACTTTCCCCCCCTCCTCCGTTAAAGCTTCCTCCCGGTTAAGAGAGACCAGACCTCTCTAAGGCTCCGCGGGAGCTTGCCCTGAGACAACTCTTTCAACTGAGGGGCTGAATTGCCTTTTCCCTTTTTCTATCTTCTATTCTCTTTCCATTCTCATTTCTCCTTTTCTTCGGGTCCGCTACACTCTTTTTCTTCTATTCTCTCTCTCTCTATCTCCTCCGTTTTCGGTACACCTTCCGACGACAACTCTCCCGAATTGCCCGTTGTCGCAATGGCTCAAATACGCTCCATGGAGGCTCGCGTGGGCCGAAAGAACCAACGTAAGTCTCCCAACTCTTCCGCACGTGGGGGCGAATCGCGATCGCGCGATCAACCATACCTCCCATGTTCCCGATCCCGAATGCTGACTCCACCACTATCTAGGCTACGGTTCAAAAGGCGAACGTCTCGTCGCCGGTGTCGTCCCCCTTTCCGCCGATAAAACCAAAGTCCTGATGATTCAATCCGCCGGACCCGGAGGCTGGGTACTCCCCAAGGGTGGGTGGGAACTCGACGAAAGCACCGCCCAGCAGGCCGCCTGCCGAGAGGCGTGGGAGGAAGCCGGTGTCGTGTGCACTGTCAACAAGGATCTGGGTCTGATCCCCGACATGCGCCCTTTTGCCCTCTTGACTGCGCAAGCTCCCAAGGCCTCCTACCAATTCTTCGAAGTAACAGTCGACCGAGAAGAAGACGACTGGCCGGAGAGGCACAAGCGCAAACGCCAATGGGTTGGCTACACCCAGGCGGCCACCGCTCTCGCCAATCGACCTGAATTGCTAGAGGCGCTGAACCGCAGCTCCTTAAAACGGTAGCCGCGGTCGTTGCTATTGCTACAATCCGCTTCGTGTTCGCAATTCACGCGGTCTCAGGACCAAGTGAACTCTACGGAACAACCGCTATTCGGGACACCCCACCCGATTGATGACTCGACACGACCAAGAAAAAAAGATCGGTGGCTTTGTTGCTTTTCGAACTTCTTTTTTGTCCTTTTTTCTTTTCCTCTTATCTTAACTCTGCATCGCATACGTCGCCGCGGCGGCCGGGCTGCTGTCTTACCCGGTCGTTTCTAACGTTAACGTGGGCGCATTAAGTTCTTTTTATTCCTTGCTCTTTTCCTTTCGCTCTGGTCATATTCTTATAGACACCGTGTACTGGGTCTCCCCTTTCGGGGACCTAGAAACTGGGCGGAGGGCTCCCCTGTGATATCTTTGATCGATCTCCCCATCACTATGCTGCTTTACCACCTCCCCAGTGAGAGAAAAGCGTTTCCAGATCAACCTTGCTCGCGCTAAATGGAATCTGAACCATACCCTCCCACTCTCTCCCTCCCCCGTTTTACTAACCCTTAGCAATGCCCTCCAAAGTCGACTACGTAGTCAATGCTGTAATCACGAGCGAATTCCCGGTCCGATGCCAAAAGCGGCGCCGAGCGATTTTGAAGGTAAAAGATGCTATCTCTAGCGTAGATGTTCAGCGCAATCTTGGTATTACCATCTCAATCATGTACATAAATAGTAATAGTATATCTAGACGGTCGTCATCAAATACCATGCATCATTATTTTTAACCAAGTAGTGAATACTAGTAGAATGGTATGGCATATGGTCACCGTATCACTATTAGTAGTTTGGGAAGTTGGTACTAGTACCTACTTAGGTACATGATCAAACCGAAAAGATGGTAGCTACTTAGTGCTAGTAACTTGAATGTTTGGAATTGAGATCCTCTATTATAATTCGAATGAGGCGCGAGTGCCCAAGTGGGAGCAGCTTGAGGCTGTCCCGATTAGGCCAAATGCCAAGACATCCTCCGAGGGAGCAAATCCACTGCTTTCACTCCCGCGGAGCCAGAATCACCTTCCAACCCGCTTCTTCCATCCTCCCACTCTCGCCTGTCGTCTCCTGGCGCCATTCCCTTCTGTCATTCTCTTCTTGGATGATAGCCATATAGTCTCCCACTTTCGGACACAGGCGGCGACCAGCGCTGCCGCATCAACAGCACCATGGAATACGAAATGGATATGGAGCCCACGGGGCCTCAAGTGACCGTTCGCGAAGTGAGCTACCCAGGACAAGCCACAGCTTCTTCAGCCCGGATCCAAGTAAACTAATCAATCAATCCCTCCTTCAGGCGGAACCCTACCGTGTCGATTTTAGACTGAGCTCCATCGACCTCGCCTTCGCCAACTCACTACGCCGCACGATCCTGGCCGAAGTCCCCACCATGGCCCTGGACCTGATCGAGATCGAAAGCAACACCTCCGTCCTCGCTGACGAAATGCTCGCCCACCGCCTGGGCATGATCCCGCTCAATGCGAAGAACTGCGATCAGATGGACTACACCCGCGACTGCGACTGCGAGGACCACTGTGTGCGCTGCAGCGTGACGCTGTCGCTGCACGCGCGCTGTGGAAACGGAATCATGACCGTTTATGCGCGGGATCTTGCTGTTCAGGGCGAGCGCATGAATGATACCATTGGTGATCCTGTCATTACGGACGCGGAGGGCAAGGGCGCTATCATCTGTAAGCTGCGCAAGGGACAGGAGATCAAGTTGACTTGCTTGGCGAAGAAGGGGACGGCGAAGGAGCATGCGAAGTGGGCGCCTACTTCTGCTGTTGGATTCGAGTATGATCCGCACAATAACCTGAAGCATGTCGACTACTGGTATGAACAGGATGCCGCTAAGGAATGGTATGTACTGCATGCACTTTTATGATCTTTTTTTTCTTCGGATGGGAAAAGAAAACGATTGTCCCGTCTACGAATTTCGAATGCTTACTTTGAACTTATCTAGGCCTATCTCTGAAAACGCTGCTTGGGAACCTGCTGCCAACCCGGATCAACCTTTCGATTATGACGCCGAGCCCAACACATACTACTTCGATGTGGAGAGCATCGGTAATCTCGAACCCGACATGATCATCCAGCAAGGTATCACAGTCCTTCAAGAAAAGCTCGCCACCACCATCTCTGTTCTCTCAGGCGAAGGCGAGGACGGCCACGTCGGCGGTGTCGAAGATGCCGATATGATGGGCGGCGCCGACCCTGACGCCTATGAACCTCCCGAGGGCATGGATGGACATCTCACAGCGTACGGAAATGGCGCGGCCGGTGCGTGGGGCGCTAGTGCGCAGACACCATATGGTGCTACGCCGTATGGACAAGGCGCTTACGGATTCTAAATGTCGCAAGGCGAATGATCCACAAAACGGGCTTGAGCATGCTGGTTGGAGTTTCTTCTTCTTTTCCTTTCTTTTCTTCTTAGCTAGTTCATTTCTGGCGGTTTGGCGGCGCACTCGGGAGTTTCATCTTATGATGAAGGCAAATATTCGGTCGTGATTCGAGAACCACATCTGTCCATATACCTTTCACTACTGGTAAAAAAAAAGCTTTCTATGATTGTTTTTTGGAAATTTGTCCAAGAAATTAATTTTGTTATATTCAATTTTGAACAGCAGCCAGAAACTAGCCAAGTTTCAACTACCTCAAAGACCTATCCCCCAAACAACCCCGAATAGACCCCAGATGAAATCTAGAATAAACATGTTTACTCGGCGGCACATACATCATCCCAAGTCTTCTCTCAGCCCCCAAAACCTCCGGCCCAAGAACAATATACCCACCAAGAACAAGCTGTCTCAACAACCCCGCCTGCTTTCTAGCAGCAGCAAAAACATCATCCGGACCGCGAAAAAAACCACGCACCTGAAGCCAAAAAGCATGTTTGGAAACTACACCTGGTTTATCAACAATGACACAACGACGATCCGACGACTCACCTCGAAGCGCGCTCTCTACCTCGGTCAAGAAGTCCTCCGGAATTCGACACCGGTGGTAAAATATCATTGGTACCGCGACCCATGTCACGGTCTGCTTTTCAGAGATATTGTAGACGTTTTCTAAATGCCAGGTTTTGCTGGGTATGAAAGCCCTGTCTAGGACTGGCATTAGTGTTTGTGGGAGGAGGATGTGGTTGTGTAGGATGGTTTCGTCGTGGCTGTGGATGCTGAAGTGGACTAGCGACTCTGTATGTTTTGGGAAGGGGTTTTGGAGGGGGATTAGTGGGGTTTGTCTCTCTGTGTTGGCATGTTGGTCTTCTTCGTCAAGATATACGGTCCTTGGGAAAGTGTTCTCGTGTAGGTCTGAGAGAAGGAGTTTGTCAAGTTGGGTTTGAATGGCCTTTGAGTCTTCGGTTTCTAGTAGTGTTAAACCCATTTTGTCGGATTTTGGAATCATCTTTTTTTGAAGAATTTGAGAAATTTGAGGAAGGGCGTTCTGAGGCAAAAGTAGAGTAAATATCCCAGAATGATAGTCACTGCCACGCCCAGTATTGCTCCCAGGATAATATAACACTTCCGGTTACACTGTGCTGTACTGGCAATGGCTAGTAGCGCTGCCATAGTTTAGATGGATATCGAATTGGACGAAGAGTCGATGTGCGGAGGGCTCGAGCTTTATGTATGAGACGTAGGTACCATTAGGTTATTGGCCGGTGCTTATTGTACTTCTCCAGTGCGATGCAAAATGTTGAATAATAGGTAGACAGCTTTCTCTGCCAGAGGTGAACAAAGACGCATTGTGGCGGGTAAGATTAAAGACAATACAATGCGCTTTCATATACCAGAGAAGATATTGTCATTTTTCAGCTTATGCACTGCCATAAATAGACTATTTCCATTCTCTTCTCCGCGGTTTCACATTCCAAGCATTGGTGAATGGAGCAAATAATAGCTCAAAGCCTAACTGATAAAGTTCCCCGCTGCCTTCGAGCCTGGAAAGGCATCTTTGTGTGAATTAGCCTCATGCTATCAAAAGCATTATATCGACTTTCTCGAACAGCCTGGTCTTTGTTCTGTTCTCACTAGTACAAATTCTCATGTCCTTTGTTCCTAATGTCTATACATACTAGTAGATCAATCTTTCGTTTTTGAATAACCCATCACCACCCACCAGCCATCTTCTACAACTAGTACTATTATTGCACAAAAGCTAGGTAGTAAGTTCTCAGCTCCCTGGTACTCACTAATAAGCCACAGGAACTATCACCACCTCGAAAATATGAGCGGTTCCAAAAATCACGGCAAGGAGGGAAGCAAGAAGGGAAAGGAAGTTGAGCGTCTCGGCATCATGAACGTCGAGGTACCCACGCAGACGAAGAAGCCCGAGAGTATGCCGAAACTGTGTACATGTTATCATCTTTGCCAGCACAAGAAAATGGCGCGATATGAGCAGAATAAAGGGAAGAAGAGGGAAGAGAGACCACATGTCCATGGTGTTTTGCGTCATGCGGAGCGGAAGGCTAAGAAGTATATTATCGACTGATTAGCTCTATTAGATGTTGAATCAAAACTTTCTTTGTGATTTCGAGAACTCTACAGAAAAAAACTTTCGCCGAGAACCGGGTTTCTATACGTAGGATTAATATTGCGTCGAAGTTGGATTCTTCCTTGTATTCTAGAATTGCTTCTTCGGAAAAATGAAAGTTATAATTCTTACCGCAACAGCATTAATAATGTTATTTTCTTCACATCAACAAGGAATCTTACATAGGAGATAAACATTCCCTCCCAATATCGGTTCGAGACCTCGGACAATATCACTATTCTGCTCTCCATATTCTTTCTTCTAGGTAAAGAGGGTATAGTGGATCTGGGGGCCAAAGTGAGAATCGGTATATTGTCTTTTACATTAAAACTCAATGTTCTAGGTAATGCTGATAGAATTTCCTGTCTTGTTTCCATCACTCTCGGACTTCTCAAATTATTAGAGCGCAGGCCTCAATTTCTCATACGGTACGACAAATCTTCTCCTCTTGTCTCTCCTAGTGTCATTCCGTTTCCCATGAAGCGAAATCTATTCACAGATCCATATTCAATATCAAAATCCTCTGTCCGAAAACTTTCCAGAATCTCTGTCGTAGATTATTTGCATTATCAGACAGAAGGTCTTCTTATTTCATAGTTAGGAGTTCATCTTGTCATACCTCTAAAATGAAGCCGGCTTCCAGCGTACAGAGCGGTAACGCGCCCGTCTGACTTACCATTCTTGTACCAACTTCGGCATGACCCAGACCACACCATGCCTTTGAGAAATTCTTGAGAATATGTGTTATAGTCATCCAGAGCTTCCTGTTTCACACAAATTGACCTATGAAAACGTCAGCATATTTTACGATTACCCAAGCAGAATCCAAAATATACTTAATATCTTCCGTCGCCATCTTTCGACACCACCTCAATATCCATTTAGCCACGCAGAATATATTATCTAGCAGAGTGCCATGACCCACTGCTAACTGTGAGTAACCTTCCCTTCAATACTGGAGAGGGGACGCTTACCAGGGCTATTGGGACCATTAAAAATGAAATAATTTGGAATGTTGGCCGCTGTGATCCCAAAATATGCTTCTGGCGAGTCATCCCATGCGAGATTGAGTTGATATCCATTCCGCCCTTGCACAGTCCATGGAGGGCGGTAACTAACATCGAATCCAGTTGCGCAGACGATGATGTCGAATTCGGAGTGCTCATGGGTTGTTTGGATTCCAGATTCAGTAACTTGGACTATTGGGTTGACATTGACGCTGGCATTTTTCTCACGTAGAGCTTCGAGATACCCATCGCCCGGCGTTGCGCGTCGGCACCCAAGCTCATAATGTGGAATTAGCTTGTCGCAGAGCTCTTGATCGTTCCCGAGCCGCTCTCGCATCGATGCCTGTGCTCGCGGAAGAGCAGTTTTTTGAGCTGCCGAATCCTTGAAGAAGACGTTGAAGAATTTGTCTTCACTATATCCAAGTTACTACGGTTTGGAAAAGAATCCGAGTCATTATGCAGCTGCCGAAAAGCGTTGACTTACCTGCGCTCGATCTTCTTACGAAGCTCAAAGAGCGAAGCAGGATTATCACGAAACCCCTTCTTTTCTTCTTCGGTGAAGGCAAAATTGGTTCCGTCTTTTGTAAGCTCAGCCGCATGATTGGAAAAGATCCATGTAGGGGAACGGATGTAGTTGGTCAATTGAGCCGCGGTCTTTTGCAGCTGCGGAAGCACTTGGATAGCAGAAGCGCCGTTGCCAATCACGGCGACTTTCTTGCCTGCCACATCGATAGAAGTGTTCCTGGACGCTTTTGTTAGACAATGACGTATAATGACATGTGTGCAGAGACATACCAATTTGCAGTATGAAGAAGCTCCCCTTTGAAATCATGAAGACCTTCGATATCAGGCCATTTCCAGTTACTAGTAACATTAGACTTATGGAGCCTCGATGGTTGCTTTGTTCATACTTTAAGAAGCCCGACCCGTCGATCAATATGTTACATTCGTCTTCCTTTTCTTCACCGTTTTGTCGAATCTTGAGACGCCACTTACTCGAAGGCTCGTCCCACGTTGCTTGAACTACTTTCGATTCAAGTTTGACATGTTCATCTAGACCATATTTATCTGATGTTCTCTTTATATAGGACCAGATCTCGGAGCCTGAAGCGTAAAATGTAGACCAGCTCGGGTTGGGTTCAAAAGGAAAGGTGTAGATATGCGCGGGAACATCGCACTAAACTCTCGAATGTCAGTTGATGGGGCTGTTGAATCGATCATCGAAAAACGCACTGCAACTCCAGGATATCTATTCTCCAGCCATGTTCCACCAACGTCTTCATTCTTGTCATAGATGGTAAAATCGATGAAGCCTTCAAGAGCCTTATTATATTTAACCTCGTATGCTGTCATCAGACCAGAATACCCGGCCCCGACACATACGATGCGTATGCGTTGAGGTTTGTATGCCGGTTCTTGCAATAAAGGAACCCAATTCTTCGCATCGTGCAGAGAATTCAAAGCCGACTTGGACGCCTCTAGAGACCGTTGGTTGACCTCAGGGTCCCTGCAAGTCTCCATGGCGGGTTTGAGAGTTTCACTGTGACTTGAGATTGGCTTTAGTTGAGAGTCTAGGAGAGAAAAAAAGAGTGAAATACAGAGTTGGGACAGAAAGATGCGGGAATGACTCATGTAGCTGCTTCTGGCGTAGAACAGACTATGGTATGACGTTTGACTATGTCTATACTAAGGTCTCCGAGCGTGATCCGACCAATATAGTGGAGTGGCATAGTGTGGCCCCATAGTTACATGGCAGGGGTTGGCACTGTCCGCAGGCTGCTCGGGCGGAACGGGCCAGGCTGTAGACTATATCGCTATCTACAGGGGTGATTGGCCCGGGATAATAGTGGTGGGTTGCCGTCAAAAGACGCCGGGCGGGGAATATGCGGGGTTCGGATGTGGCGTATAACAGAATACGACGTTATTTTTATGAGGTATATATATTCTGATCCCTTAAATGGGTAGATATACATGACAGCTGACCAAAAGGATAAATGTACATTAGTCTATCATATAGGCAGAAAGATATCCCCGTGGATAGCCGGACGATCCATGCTCTGGATAGCTAGTATTTATGTAGGGTATGGAGTATGCGGGATTTAGATATGACGGCATACTGCCTTTATTTTTATGAGATATCTCTCTATTGGCCCCTTTATTAAGTAGATAATGTGGTGCGACGATTGACAACTTGAATTTCAAGTAGAACAAGGATAGGAGGTCTCTATTAGTCTTTCATATAGGCGGGTAGATATGCGGGGTTCGGATGTTGCGACGTAATATAATAGAATACGCCGTTGTTTTCATGGGATATTTATGTATTGATCTCTTACATAGGTAAATATCTATGGTCTCGTTAGAGGAATTTTGATAGAGAGTGAGAGGCAGTTTTTGTGTGGTCAAGTGAGGATCAGAGCTCTTGGATATGGGTAAAGAGCGATGTAGAGCAATAGTAATATGCGTGATAAGTACAAGCTTGACGACAGTTAGCATCACGAGACCCTTCACAATACCACCCAGATAAATTGGCGGCACGGCTCGCGAAGCTAGATTCGGAAATTGGTGAGATTCCCGGTGCATGATCATCATAATAGCGAGTCCAGCCAAGATAGTAGAGACCGATTGTTCGAGGGTGCGAGTGATGGCAAAGTCTAGAAGTGCAAATGGTCCATGTTCTGAGACTTTTTTGTCGTAAGTGGCGCATAGGGCTATATCAAGATCTTGGCTTTGATGTGCATAGGAGGCCTTGCATCTTCCCAAAGATACCATTCATATGCGCATGTGAACTCCCTGGTTGGCATCCTGCTGCTGACAACATTGCAGTAGTATCATGTTTGCCCCGCTGGGCTTGGAGCTTTTGTTCTGAAAGATGAAACCCTTCTACTGCCCCGCACCTTCTTATTAAGGCATATGACGACTGGTTGAGGATAATGCGGTGGAAATTTGCCTATATAATGTATGAGAATTGAATTCGTCGTCTCTCTCCTATATCACCATACGGCTATATCCGTGTGCAATATTTTCAACTACAGACCTGGAATAAACCATTTTGACCTGTTATATACTACTTGAAAGCTGTTACTTGACTTGAGCTTTTCTCATTCAGAGCCATGTCGCAGAATAAAGGAGTAATTCAGCCACGCCTAGAGCGTCTCGAGCAGATGCTCGGCGATCCTCTCTTTGAAAGCATACTATGGGGCCACGAGTACGACCTAAATGGACTGGACAACAGTCTGCGAGTTAAGATCGAGTCCGGGCAGTTCAAGAGGATTGTCTTCTATGGGATGGGATGCTCCTCGGTAGTGTCTGATATCGTCAAGGGATTTTTTCTAACGGAGCACATCCCAATACACGTTCAGGTTGTTAACGACTACGACAGCGACTGGTTTATCGACAGAGACACCTTGAAAGACGACTCCACGCTGACCATCATAGTCTGCTATAGCGGCTGGTCGGTCGAGCCATGCCTGTTCTTCGATACCATGCGAAACATGACAGGAAACAGAAACCTTATTGTTCTATCTGGAGGCGGGAAAATTGCCTCTCTGTGCCAGGAGCACGGAACCTCGCTAATTCAATATAAGCTGAGGCATGCCGACCGGGAATACCCCCTCTATCACGTTCAGCAGTTCTTCTCGATATTCCTCGATCTCTTCTACAAGTTAAAGATCACAAAGTCCTCCTACCAATCCGAGCTCGAGGACTCAGTCAAGTTTCTGAAAGCCGAGTTCCACGAGGAAACCCTCAAGCGAGCAGAGGCTATCGCCGAGAAGCTTAGGGGGGAGTCGTATCGTCCTGCTGAGCACGGCGGACTGGTATGTCACCCTTCTCAAACAGACAACCATGTTTTTCAATGAAATCGCGATGGTTCCGACTCACAGAAACCTCCTCCACGAATTCTCCCACACCGAAGTGGCTGCCTATTCCGACCCGGCCGAAAAGCAGGCCATTGTGACCTTCTGCGACTCCAATGCCGACGACTACACGAAGAATAAGATCCAGACCCTGAAAGGGCTGTTTGGCAGCAAGGACGTCACTCAGAACTCCAATATCGAGTTTGTCAATATCGAAATTAACCAGGATGATTTCTTCAAAAAGTTCTTCTTTACGCACTTTTTTACAATTTATATTGCGTATTACCTGGGGAAATACTCCGATGTGGAGGGAAGAGATTTGATCTCGATCGCCGCGAAGAACCCATGGTGGAGCCAGCGCTCGATCGAGCTATTCCCCAAGTGTATCGATATCCCTTCGGTTCTTGAGTCCTAGAACGCTGGTTATAACCTACACGAGCCGGTAGAGTTGCAGATGAATGGATACTTTTCTCTCTTTTCAACAAAGGGGAAATGTCATTATGTTTCGGATGAGAATTCTAGTTGTTTGACATTATGTTTATTCTGAAATGAGTTCATATTCAAGTTTCAATCGTCTCAGCCCGGGATTGTCATTAATAGATGCTCCCCTGGGCGACCTCGCGCAGGACTCACCCACTAATCGCCGTTGCAATAGTAAATCATAAACGATCACTTAGCCCAATTCAGGTGTGAAGTATTGAAAGTATCATGGCATGGAATATATCTTCTGTTCACCAACATTTGTTACATGATGCGTCTTTGAAATATTGACTTCAGATGCAGAAACAAGTCCATGAGCCATGCTGCAAAGACTAGTATAGTCATGAACGTTGCCACCCAAGCTATGGCATTCGATTCCAGCTCCTCGCCAATGCGGATCGTGGCAATTGTGAAGCCAACATTGGGGAATATAATGGCCCACCAAGGAAGTGTGAAACTCATCTTTGGCTGCAACATATTATTGACGCGCTTGGGGATCATAATGGGCAACTGAGCAACCAGCGCAATCGCGAAAAGCCAGAATGTAAAGAGCCAAAGGAATATACCTATCCACAATGCCATGACGTTCAGGGTTTCTGAAGCAGTAGGGTGCTTCGCAAAGTATCCGTAACCGTCGGGGATCGCCTTGGCGCACCCAATGAGAGCCACAATGGTGTATCCTGATGAACCTACGGATATGAAGAGTCCGGGTCTCTGGTTTGCCGGGCCGAGACCATTGATAAGCATGTTGCCCACGAAGAGTGGAAGAAACATAGTGCACAAGATCCACCCAAGACCCTGAAAAGCAATGCCGGTAACGATGATGGCCATTCGTTGCGAGAGAGGCTGATATGCTGCAATAGACGACGCGACAGTGCCGGTCAGCATGGCATTATAGATCATCAGAAACATTGGTGGGCTCATGGTTCCAGGCTTGAGGGGACAAACGGCAAACATGACAACGAAGATGACGATGTTATAGGCCAGGGTGATAGCAGCATAGGTCCAGAAGAGAATCCGGATGGCGACGATGACCCAAGGACCGGCGTGAGGAGCACCAAAACGCTGCATGCACATGATGATGGTCGCCATCGAGAGCCATAGCGAGCCTGTGAAGTAGGCTTCTGGGGGGTTTGTGAGGGATTTGCGTAAGTTGGAAGGTCTCTGGACGAACCTACAAATAATGACTGTGGTGAAGAGGACGAACAAAACTAGGTTGAGGATGAAGACTACGACACCGGCAGTCTGCAGCCCGCGAAATTGATGGGGGGGATTCGGATAGGAGAATGGCCACGCCGCCAGTAGACTGAGTGCAAGTGAAGTTAGCCCATGTGAAGCGATCGAGCAGTCGGGCCTCCTTGGCGGCGCTTTCGTCTTTGGGTTCCACATTGTCAGGTCGAGCGGCGCTCCTCGTTGAGGTTTTATGCTGCTCTTCGTCTGTCATAGCAGCTCAGCAGGTATTAAAGGCAGGGTCTCAGCTGAGCGGAAATGGTTGGTTTTTGAACAATGAAAAGAAACCAAGAAGTTCGAGCTTGCAAATTGCCGGGTGCAGAAAAAGCTCGCGAGGGGTAGCTATGCAGGTGAGCGTACTCCGTACCTAAGCGAGAATTTAATGTGGGTGAAAGGAACTACAAGGATTTGACAAGGATTTGATTCAGTTCAGTTCATTTCAAGATTCTATTAGCCTAATTCAGTCTAACTTTGGGATGTATGGCTATGTATGCGTTCCTTCGGGAACCAGAACCGTCCTAATGCCACGCATATAGTAACAAAAGACAAAGGAGATACGGTGTATTGCCATGTTACGACATGTAATCTAAGTACTCAACAGAAATAAAACGCGCTCAATGAATCTGATCGGCGACTCCCAGCTGACGCAGCGCCATGCGGCCACACCCACTTCCGCAATCTCAAACTGCTTTTATTGGGTTCGCAACGACCACTGGATGGTCTAAGCTGGGAGTACATACGGGTCGAATACTAGGTTAGAGTTCCTAAATAAGCAGAGCTCAGTTCTTATTCAAACTTGAAGACATATGTATTTCGGTAGAACCCAACGTATGATTGTGTAATCTCCGATAGGTAGATGTCGCCCTATCAGACGCAGCATCGGGTCTGCAATAAGCACCATTTCCGCGTCGGCACGAAGTCTGTCGCGTCGTCATAGGCCAACTGCAAGATGAGTCAACCAGATCATCCAGGGATCAACCTGAATGGGAAAACATGCACACGAGCATTCAAGGGAGTGCCCAGTTGTTTCGTGGATCTTGGATTCTCTTGTCCTCTCCATCATCCCAAAGAACTCTGAGATAGGTATTCCACCATGAATGCTTCCGATCGAGAGTCTGTCGCCTTACACGAGATCCGATCACTCCAGTCCAGAGATGATATAACCTCCGAGATCGAACAGCCCACTTTGCTTCCAGCAGATGGTGGTAGGGCAGCCTGGCTGATGCTCGCATCCTGCTGTTTAATTCAGCTACCAGTCTGGGGTGGGCGATGTACCCAGTCTCAAAAGTGGCACTCACTAATACAGGAATTCTAGGCTTCTCCTCGGTCTTCGGAGTCTTCCAAGAATACTACACCACTCATAAGAAGGGCCCATAACCGGCAATTTGGATCGGCTCACTATACAGGACTAATCTTGCGGGAGATAGTTTCCAGCCTCCGGGTACCCACATATCTGATGGTCGGGGCCATTAACAATGTTTTGGCAAGCTCGTGAGCCACTGGACTGCTGGTGGAGCGAGTGAGAGCAATAATGTAGGCCTGCTTGATTGAAGTAACTTTGACAGTGTCTGAGCGACAGCTCGGCCAGTGTTGCCAGTGGCGCCGACAATCAGGATGGAAGGAGTCATGAAGTAGGAGGTATATTGTTCTTCCTGAGCTATTTTCGCCAAATATCGTGGTGGCGTGCTAGATCTTTATACCCGACTTTTGCCTTGTTATCTTTGATTAGTAATCCCCAAGAAGGAATTATTAAGGGGTTACAGGAGTACGAGAGTCATGATTGAAGAATTATCTCTGCGGTGAGGATTACGGTCCTCCCAAGGGCCGCCCACCGGCATCCCACGGAACGAACTATGACGCCTATACAAGACTGCACCCATTATATTTTTATTATTTCCTAGTAATTACTGCGATGATATTTCGGTCTCTTTATACCACTGTGCGAAGCTATTCAACACCTCTGCGCTATTTGCTTTGATTGAACATTCTTTAAAGCTTTCCAGATTTTCTTTGGTGGGATACCGGTGGGATGCCAGCGGGAGGGAAAAATGATTTCGGTGCTGATTTAACACCTACGCAGAGCTTGACGGAGCCCACTTTGGATCCTACGTCGAGGCCATATCTGTATGGCTATCAAGAAAACTCCAAATTAGAAATTGAACGGTAAATATCTTCACTTTTAATAATATAGAAGCTACAGAAAAGAGAAAACAGTCGTGGGTGGCGACATGCCTCGAGCGCTGTGCAAATGTGAAGTTTTTCACCGCAAATAAGTTATTCCATTTGCTTCAACCAAAGCAAAATAATTTACTTTTCCTAGCTCAGGGAGTGCACATGGAACAATTACTTATTGTCCTATCCTTTAGAATGGGGGCCCTCCGTTGAACCTAGGTTGGTGGGAGGCCCGGCAAGAACTCTGCAGGAATCTGTTTAAGAATGTTCTAACTACATAATCCAATTGATTCATTATACTCCTGGTTATTCTATTGGTCAGCACTCACGACGGGATTGCCGGATTATCAATCAATAGATCTTCATATGGGCGGGAACTCGGATATAAATCAGAAGTTCCAGTCCCAACCCATCCACCCTTACTTTGATCGGTGGCAACTGAATCTAGAAAGCTGGCTGCGGCAACCAAAGAGAAACCATACCATGTTTGCAAAATTTGATAAAACTGAACCATTTATTCCGCTTGCCGGGAGTGCCGATGATGGCTGGTCGACAGAAGACCAGGCAACTGCCACCTGCTACTGTGGAGCTGTGCAGTTGGCATTTGTGAGTGTGTCCCTAGTCTTCGTCGTCTTCTTCTTCTTCGTGTTGTTGTTGTTGTTGCTACTGCTGTTCTTGTTGTTCTTGTTCTATCTCACGCTAATGTCACGGACAATCCTCAGCCAACACATGGTCCTGGACTTGTTGACACATTTATATGCCACTGCACAGACTGCCATAAAATCACCGCATCTATGTTTGCAACCAATTTTATCATTGCAGACACGTATCTAAAACATTTACGGGGCCAGGAAATCCTCAAACATTTTCGGCAGTCGAAAACAATCACCTCCGGCAAAGCAATGACAAATTGCTTCTGTTCTTCGTGTGGTACCCTCATGTATCGCATCAGCGAAGCGTTCCCGGGACACAGTATCCTACGTACTGGAACAGTGGATGATTTCAATCTCCATGAAACTAAATTGAAGCCAAGGGTTGAGGTGTACACCAAGGATCGTGTGGGTTGGCTCTGCAGTGCAAACGGAACCGATCAGATTGAGGGGGCAAGCCTTCATTGAATCGGAAAATTGGAGGATTTGACTCCTGCTATTTAGCTTTTGGGAGTACAGATACCATTACAAAACAAGGTCCAGCGAGCTTGCTTTACAACAGCAGTATCTACTAAAACTTAGGGTATTACTGATTAAGTCAATTAAAGAAGTGCTATGGGATTTATTCTAGTCCAAGTATTCTTACTAAGATATTAAGATACAGCCTGGTAATAGTATTACAGAACATACATGATACCGAAGATCACGATTACTGCAAAGTGCATAGAAATTAGTGCTCCTCAGAGGCTTGGTCCTATAATTTGACTCGACGTGCTAGGGCAGTCTACCCTTTCCGTACGTCAGAAAGGTGTTCAAGGTTGTCGATGGGTGGGAAATTGCCTCAAGGGCTGTCTCACCATACATGGAACCTTAAGGGCATCAAAGTCGAGACCAACCTTGAAATGCACATTCATCATCTTGCGAAACGAGTCGACGCAATAGAGATTTCTGTCACGGTGCCAGTAAGGTTACAATTGGTTTCGATGGGCGTCCCTTTGCCTATTATACATGCCGCTACGCTTGCATTCAACATTAGCTTTCATAAAATTCCATCTAAGAAGACGCTATGAATATGTATCCGGGGATATATGATAACAAGACCAGCGTCTTGTTAGTTGTCGTCAGATATGAGCATGTGACGATCTAAACCTTCCACGGAAATTACACATATGACCCAGAATTGCAGGTGGGCTTTCCCATTCCCTTCCCAGCAGAACTATTCAACCAACTTAGGTATGATTGCCAAAAAACAGAGAATATCGATGTCACAATCGATCGAGACTGTGGTTTGATATATGAAAAGTTGAATGCCGTCACCAAAGGCCAAAATAGAAAGCTCCTGGGGATGCTTATAGATGCTTTTTCTTTCACTCTTTCAATTGCACCCCAAAGCCCCTCCCCGGCGAGGAGTCCATGGGCGGCGAAAAAAATAGACATTGAACATCGGGGTGTAAAAGGCTTGGTTGGCAGCTACCTTCGCCCCCAAAGACAGAGAGGGGGAGCTGTAATTGAACCGTCGCCCTAAGAACAGGAACCATTCGTGACTCGGAATCGCGATGACAAAACCGATGATGACACTCCGTAGCGAGCGATAATAGTCGAAATCATCATCTCCTATCATTTGTGCTGAAAAGTCACCCAGGCAGAATATCAGCGGCGTAAGGCACAGTTGGGTAATATATGGTCGTCGGCTTTGAGAGTGTGAAAACCAATCAAATAGTGATGCAATGGGTCTCTGAAGTTTTCGAGCCATCGGTTTCGGAGATGTACCACGAGGAACAGCATCTTGTTTTGTTCGGAAATGTGTGGCTTTGGTGTGTTGATAGGTCACTGGGATACTACTCGGTAGCCTGAGACGCAACCGAGTGAGCGCTGGCATGACTTCGTGTCGAAGATGAGGATGGGAATAGGGGAGAAGACACCGATGAATCAGCATAGTTCATGTTAATAGACGGGTCCTAGAGAGCGCGAGCCTGTCAGAAGAATCAAATCAGTCGGATGGGATTCAATACTTTATAGGGACTGCAACTTGAAATACCGACATATTAAACAAAGGCGTTGCTTTCAATGTCCAAGAAGGCGTAAGGGGTGGAGTTGATTACATAATACCCGTCTGACTGTGGGGTGACGGAAATTCCACCACAATATTTTGATACGGCGACCACACGTCCCTGGAATTTGGACCCCAATATCCAAGACACGCTCCAATGCCCGGAGAAATAATTAATGCGTCACTCTCCGAATCAGGAGCCTGTTTGTTTAGACGTTCAATAATTTATTTTCATCACGATTCGAATTTGCTGTAACTGGTTGGGCCTCCACTTTTTGTTGGAGTAGTTATCCTATGGGGTTTCTACCTATTGCTTTGCCATGCCTGACTTCTCTTGAAATCACGTTTTCTCAATGCACGAAATTACTGTCAATACTTTGTCAAATGGTCAAAAAAATACTAATATATCGGACTATAAGATTCAAGTTTCACCATCGATGTGGCGATTCAACCTACGTTCAACTTGAATGTTACATACAGTATGTCCCGAAACTGGTCACCAACTTTACTCCTTGTTCTCTTTGGAGAGTTAGCTTTCGATGGCCGAACTAGCACCACTATTTGAAATGAAGCTTGCGTGGAATAATGAGCTGGCGCGGATTGTGGCGGTGGCTGTGTGTGGGAGCCTTAGCCATACCTTAGTCTCATTTAATGCCTCTATCTCCCTTGCGATTTTGATAAAGTAGAGGTATGTACGTTCACAATATTTCGCTAGATTTTGTTATTAGCTAGCTTTCTGCTGAATAAAGCACGATGTCGCTGCTCACACTACCCCAACGAATTGATACAGCAAATTGTCGCTGAACTGGACTCGCAAAAGTATTTCAATAACATTATCCGCACCTGCCGATTCTTTTACGAGGCTTTCAATGGTCTATTGTATGAATGCGAAATACGGCGGGATGGGGCGCATGCAGTGTTGTCCTATGCCGCTCAGATGGGACATGCTCATACCATACAACGGCTTATACAGATCTCCGCCAGCAGCACTAAAAGTCCAACCTTGCGACTCAGCCCAAATCCTTCACGTCCTTCACATCGCAATCGTTGGAGTCCACTCCTTTGGTCGGCCATCCGGGGAGATGAAGACGTGACCAGGCTGCTCCTGGGTATAGAAGACATCGATGTGAACATCAAATGTCCGAGATCCCGGACCCCACTCTCAGTTGCTGCCGAACAAGGGTTTGTGGGTGTTGCCCGGCTGCTTTTGGCTGCAGGGGCCAATCCAAATACCAGCGACGACCTCATGAGGTGGACGCCGCTACATTGGGCAGGATCGCCTCAACTTGCGGGTGAGAGTCGTGATTTGGGTCGCCAAAATATGTTTAGGAAAGAGGTGCAAGATCCTAAATGTAATATCCACTGTCCGTTGGTCGTTTATTTCGAGGTCGATATTGTCGGCTCCTCAATTTGGATGAAGAAAGAAAGAGGGATAAGAGATGGCGTCCCTTTTTCCGAGGACGAACACGGGACACCTTTGATCCAGCCCAATTTAACATCTACATTGTGGTCAGCAAGTACAAATTATAAGGAGATATTATATCTCCTTCTCCAATATGATGCCCAACTTGAATTAACGGACGTGGGAGGACGAACTCCGTTATCTTGGGCAGCGACATGTGGATATTTGCCCTTGGTGGAGCTTCTTCTTGATAGCAGCATATCTCTTCATTCCCCGAAACCTGCATTCAAGAAACTTTCGAGATCGGAGGAAAAACGTTTGAAATGGGCAGAGAAAGAAAGGGATTGCGAAAAGGTAACCAAGAGCTCAGTCAATCGAGATTCATTTATTGAAACTGACAATGATGACTCCCAGTCCGCCCTATCTTATGCCGCCGAGAATGGACAATACGATACTGTGCAGTTCCTTCTGGAAAGAACCACACGACGAGACCCGCTCTGGTCTGACCCTGGCTGGGCTCCCCTGGTGTGGGCAATAAGAGGGGGCCAGGTGGATATGGTGAAATTATTGCTATCGGTGCATGCCCAAAGGTGGCCGGAGCAGTCCCTTGGCTCTTCAGCTGCCGTAGTAGCTGCGCGCGACGGGAAAACAGACATTATACCGTTGCTGGTTGAAGCTGGGGTAAAATTCGAAGCTACTCAAAGATTGGACTTCATGACCCCGCTCCATTTAGCTGCCATGAACATGCATGCTGATACCGTTAAATGCCTCCTTGATATAACGGAGGTCGATGTGAATGCCCCCGATGGACATGGTTGGACTGCACTAGACTGGGCGACAAAAGGCCAGACGCGAGCCAAGATATACTGGGAGGACACGAGAATCAAAGACATGCTACTCAATCGCGGAGCTTCCCCATCATCACGGACAGGGGCAGAGCTCGCGAGCCCGCCACACTATTTTCTCCGACAATTTTCAGGGTGTACTTTCGAAGCAGACTTCGGTGATTTCCCAATTTCATTCAGATGTGATTGGGACTCCATTACTCAAGGGAAAATGATGCGAGACTTGCCGTATAAAAAGGGTTTTTATATGGGAATGTCCCCTGACATACCATATGAAACGATGAAGATGTTTGAAGGGTGGTCCTATGATAGACCTCAACCTATTCATAGCTGAGTAAGGTTACCAGGCGCACTTTGTAAATACAATATCCATAGCTTCATATCTAGTCATATCAATCTTTATCGGCATTATTATAGCATTAGCAAGTAATAGGCAAGTCTGTTTGATTCTCGAGCAGACTTGCATTGACCCTACATGGGAAACAGCAGAAACCCCGCGCATTTTCTGACATGGTTTGCCAAGGAGCTTGACGACCTTCTTTGCCAACTTTATCTAGAGCATCCCAAGTCCATAATACATTGAGGTGTTCTTACTCATCAATGAATTTGCAAGTCTCGCTTGCACGTCAGGTTCATCGCCTTTCCCAAAGCGCCCCAGAAGTCGACGACCGTCAACCAGCGCATTGGATCCGCCAATCCAAAGAGCAAAGGGCGGTATTCTGGGTCCGAAACAAGCGTTGTCCCAGGGGAAGCGAGGCAGGGGATTTCGGGGTCATCGCCAGGTTCTCGATCATGTTCTCCGTCCGATCGCAGTGCAGCCTGATTCTGTCGATGCATGCCGGGCGAAGGCATCTAGAAGGGTGGGGGCTATAAAATCAAGGTTGCACATGGCCAAAAATAGTGGAGTTCTGATCGACAAACCATGACTCGTCTGGGGATTCAGGTACCAGGGGGGTGGTTTGGTCTGGCAATTCCAAAATGGTTCCAGGGCTAGCCATGGTAATGGTGGAATGACGAATCGAACGGACCTGAACCGACCACCATCCAATACCGTGGTCACGACCACTTCCTGTTATTTGAATGATTCAACCAGATGTTATAGCGAGCTTTCGATAAAGATATGCACTGGGCATGGGTTCATTAGATTAGATGCTTTGACACTGCGCATGCGCTGGCCGATTGTCTTTTTGGTTCGTGTGCTCTCCTCTTGTGCAGATACGGGCACCGAATCATCCAATATGGAGGACAATTCCGAGGCAGTGGCTGATCTGTTCCCAAGTACTGCTTAGCGTGCATAAGCAGCACCTGTGAAGGCTCCACAGCCAATGCAGTTCGAGGCATGAGCGTGCAGCAACTCCGGCTCACGCCATGCACTTCCCCGTGTGGAGTTTTTGCAGACGATGCAGGGATGGTAGTCTGTCACTGGCCCACGGCAGGAGATTTGGCTTTTTCTGGCTACTCTTCCACCATACACAATCAGAGTCTTGGAATGCCCCACTGACAATATTCTGCAAGGCTACAAAGCGGGCTGGGGCTGGGGGGTGTCAAAGCAGCCAAAAAAGCAAAAGCACCCTGCCAAACAATCATGTTGTGTTGTGGGTCAAGTCGGTGGGGCCAGCTTGGTTCAACCGGGGCACATCACCTTCCTGAATGGCCTGGGCCCATTCACTTCGTACTTTTGATTCGTTGGAGTGGAATATCGACTTGATTCGGGCGGACTCGAGCTTCGACTTGAGTTGTTTGTTAAACGGTTCGAGCGGACACGGGGAGTCCCGTCGCCGTCTGTCAACCCCACCCCTTCCCACCGAAGCCCCCCCCTTTCCCAATTTTTCTTCACCGTCCAGAGCTACAGCTTCAACCTCCAGCTCTTTCACGATCAACCGCAACGATGAGTGAGAAACCTATCGAGAAAATGGACCCCATTGCGGTGGTAAGTCGTACCGGCCAAGTCTGAAGGAGGGCGCTTTTCTCACGGCCACCCCAGGACCCCGATTTTTATGCCATGAACTCCAACTATCACACCGAGCCACAAGATTTCGCATCGTTAGTATATCTTTCTCTGTAAAATAAGGTCGATAGCTTGCCTTCTAACTGTCATCATGCAGGGAGACCACCTCTCTTGCGTCCACAATCGCAAAGGGTCGCCTCGAAAACGGGCGCAGGTTGGTACCCTTCCAGTCCCGATCTCTACCTCAAAACTAACCAGAATGATAGATATCAAGCTATTAAGGACGACGATTACTGGTTAGTCGTGAAATATCAATATTCATTTGGCCTAAATTAACCAAAACTAGGGGCCCCTCTGACGAGCAGCAATTCGAAGCCTTTGAGATCGGGTAAGCGGCATCTCTCTCTTGTCCACGCAGCAAGGAGTGAAGTGGCTAACAAACCTAGTCATATGGTATTTCTGGTGTTAGATCACAATGAGCCAAACCCACTTTTTTCGCGCTCCTATCGGCAATTCGCCAAAGGTAAATCCTGTCCAGCAAGACCAGCAAGTCCTGGCTTGAAAATCGTACTCATGATGAACACAGAACATTCTAGACATTGGAACTGGCCAAGGCAGCTGGGCAATGTATGTATAAAACTAGCTCATTTTCGGGAGAGAAGCTCTAACAAATCACTCAGTGATGTTGCCGACCTCTACCCCACAGCTACCGTTCGTGGCGTGGACATGTTCCCCCCACCTGTCACATGGATGCCCCCGAACTGTGTTTTCGAGGTCGATGATATTCTCCGTGAGTGGACATGGAGAGAGCCTTTCGACTTTATCCATATGCGTCTGATGTACGGTGCATTCGATCCTGCTGGCTGGGAGAAGGTGTACAAACAAGCCTACGAGTAAGTTTGAATTCCAAATATTTCCAAACACGTTAGAAACTTGAACAAGAAAAGAGACCTGACCTATTCTCTTTTTTCACCAACAGCGCCCTCGAGCCCGGTGGTTGGATCGAGCAAATGGAACTAGACGTGCGCGTCTACAGCGACGACGGCAGCTTGAAACCAAGCCACGAGCTCTACGGATGGGGCGACATGTTCATCGGATGTTCCGAACGAGCGGGAGACCGATCCCTCCGAACCCACGAACTGATGCGCAGCCAAATCGAGAAGGCCGGATTCGTCGATGTCCACGAAGTCAAGTACAAGATTCCGCTCGGACCCTGGGCCAAGGACAAGTTGTTGAAGGAGGCTGGTCACCTTCAATTTGCTCACTGGAACACCGCTCTGGAGGGATGGGCCATGTGGCTTCTCACTCACCACGGTATTCCCGAGCCCTGGTCCAAGGAGGAAGTTCAGCTCTTCCTTGCTAAGATTCGCACTGAGCTGAAGAACCCGCACATTCACGCTTATGAGCCTGCGTATGTTTTTACCTCCTGTTCCTGTACCTGATGGATTTCTGCGAGGTTTCCGTGCTAATTCGTTACTAGGAACCGTGTTTGGGCGAGAAAGCCTACCCTTGAGGAACAGAAGGCCAAGGATGCAAAGATCAAGGATGCAAAGATCAAGGCCGAGCCCTCGCCTTAAAGTCTTGATGAATTTATACTATCATTTAATTGAGCATTGGCGGACTGCAGAACTCGGTTTCTTATATACTAGTTATTTGGTCATTTCGGCACTATCTATCCTAGGTCAGCATACTGTAAATTCGACATTCAGTCAGCCCTTGAAAACATGGGCGAAACCAATACAAACAAACTTCAAACAATTTACGAGGAAGTTAATAAAATAGACGTTATCATAGTAGTGTGATATTCATATTATGACAGATGAAAGCCTCATTTTTGACGCTTAAGATGTTAAGAAGATAGTAAAACGAAATCCCTGCCGAGACAATGCTGCCAAGCCTACAAACATTTCCAACGCCGATGAGAGAATGCCACTTGATGAGTGGATGAGCTATGGACAAGAACAAAAGCAGGAGCCCCTTCGCTAGAAATGCGCCAAGAAAAGCAAAATAAACGACAATGCAATGCGCGCCTTGTTTTTACTCCATCATCAGCTCCATGGGCGGACGAGAAGTCTTCGGTGGCATCTTCTTGACCGACATATCGATGGGACTCAAGTCCCCATCCATGTCGACATCATCATCCAGGTCCAGGCTGACATCCTCGACCATCACTGCCGGGAGGTTGGGGCTGTTGCCGTGGTCCTCGGGGTGAAAGATGATAGTGCTGCTGCGGCTGCGCTGTTGCGAGCCAGCCAGAGGCCAGCTACCGGTGCGCTTTTCGGAAGTCATAGAGACGGGTGTAGCGGGGTCGACGGCGCCGAAAGACTCCGGCTCGGCCGGTTGGTCCGTTCTGAGCATGGAGAGGGCGTTGGCGAGATCACTGGCGTGCACTTCCTTGTTGGGCGGCTCCTCGTTGCGCATCACCCATCCGGCGGGAGGGCTGGGTGGCGGGGAAATAAAGAAGAGCTTGTCGGCTTGCGGGGCTTGCAGAAGTTTGGGACCCTCCTGGCTGATGAGCGGGGTGTATTCACCAAAGTAGATGCGGGGGGTGATCTTTCGACCGAGAAGTCTGTTGCCCTCGAGGGACTTTCGCACGGTGATTGCGGCTTCTTCGGAGTAAAAGGAGCAGACGATGCGGCGGAGGGAGGGGAGCGGTGAGAAGGAGTTTAGTGCGGCGAGGACCAGGATTTGGTTGCGGATTGCGTCCAGGGAGTTGGGTTGGAATAGGACGAGGTCGTTTAGGTCGGTGATCAATAGTGTGTTGGAGGGAGGTGTTGGCTGGGAGAGCGCGGGGAGGTTGGAGAGATCAATTGAGAGCGAAGGCCGCGATGATGACCGCGAAGAGCGGGTTTGTTGGAAAGAGGGAGATGCAGCCAGAGACTGGGGAGGAGATGTTTGAGCCATGGCGTCTGATATGATTATGCTTTGTAGGAGTAAAGATGTAGTGTTGGAAGAAGTCGAAGTTCGGGGGGAGGTTGGCGGAGTTTAAAGTGAGAGAGGCGGCGGAGGCGGAGAGATTGTGATAGGGGGGGTTCGCCACCGGATAAGCGTTGTGAGCCACTGGGGGAGTCTAGATTTCTAGAGTTTTTGGTGGTGGAGGCGACTTTGGTTTTGGGGTTGTCTTTTAGTGTCTTGTGAAGAGATTTCTAAACTAAGTCGGGAGAAAAGTGGTAGGTATTTATTACTATGTCAAGGTGTCTGCTTCCGTAAACCCGTTCTTGGTTGGGTTGAGGCGCAGCGGTGGTGATGTACACGGTCTCAAGCCTACACAGCCCAATCCACTCGGACGAAGCTGATTTAGTATTATTTGTTCCTGGCGATCCACCGGGCATAGCCTCTCTTTCTCCAATGATTGCGCATCTTCTGACCGCGAACGGCAGGTGATTCGTAGGCTATTGACGCGAAGTTGCGCGCATGCGCCACACCATGCGCCACACTTTACATCCTCAACGGAAGGAGCGCATCCGCACCAGCCACAGGAACATGCCGATCGAGGCTTCCCTGCCAGTTTGTCAGTTCGCAACTTGGGCCTTTTTAGGAATCTCCCAAGGCTTGGCCATTCTCTATTCTCTTTCTTCGCTTCCTTCACTCCCCAACTCCGCCTCACAATTCGCCCCCAACTAAATTACTTCCCCAGAGTTGTTGGTTTTAATGAATCTGCCTACATCCGACTTTTCTGCTTGGCATCCTTCTGATCCTCTATACGGGCAGTGCTCTGGCGGAGTCAATTGGCGGAGTCAATCCTGAGTCTGCTGGAATACTGGCAAAGCCGTGCTACTAAGCCCTGTCTATGGCATATCTGTCATGAAACATGGTGTTGGATGCGAGGCAACTCAATTATTTGTTTATTTACAGTTCTTCTCCGTTTGCTACCCTTCGGCTTCCCAATGACCCGCATCCGGCGCTCCACAGCCCACCTTGACCCTGCGGCGAGGCGCAACCCTGTCTTATTCTTTTTTCAACACAGGCAACATAGTCAGTTATGCCCAAATATGCACTGGCTGTCAGATCCAAGGGCGGCTGTTGTGGATCCCGTATGGGTGAGGCTCAATGCCTCACTACTTACGCTCATCGATCTAGTGGAGCGCCGCGTATTACAACACGAGCCTGCTGCCAAATTTGGGTATCCTTGTCTCGTGGGGTCTGTATTAGTTCGTAAAAGTACACCGAATAGCCACGATAGATATCGTAGTGTATTTTCCCGTAATTTCAACTTACCTGATGTACCTCGATATTCCACTTCGAAAATTTACAACCTGTTTCTCTTCGCGACCTGAGTCCTAGTTTCTTAACTCATGAAGGATAATCTTCCATGATGCCCGAGACAATTAATGACGTGAATACGTAAGTTTGAAACTAAGCATTTTCATCAAAAAAAGCCAATCAAATTAATTAGCTAAGCTCTCTCCAGCGTCGACGTACATGAGCTTCCGCTCCTGGTTGTCTCGCATAATCTGACAGTACTACTAAGCGTCGTCCTTCTAACGAGCATCTTTGTCCTCCTGTTTACGTCGCTGCATGGCAGATACTTCTCCTTGCGACATCTTGCAGGTCGAGTCGTGCGCGCCCAGATACGATTCCGTGCTGCATATCCAACGCTTTCAACGACCTTTAACTTTGTCGGTTCCTTTGCGTCGAGTGTTATATTACTGCTTTGGCTACAACCGAAACTGGACCCAACTCCTTCGGCTACAGCTTCAGAACCTTTAGGTGTTTTTATAGACATACCTTGGCCGAATGGAACGATCAGCACCTACTGGATCAAAGATAAAAATTCGGTTTATAAGACCATGCCTGCTATCATGACGGAAGTTGTTATAAATGGGTGGTCCATAGACATAGAGACCCCTGCTCCGAGTACCACGATTGGAACAATGACCGCGACCTTTTTATGATCGGAGATGTTGGTTTGAACCTAAGTGCCCCTATAAAGTGACACGTTGCCTAATCCTCGAGGCACTAGCTCATGTTTGACTTGTTTACCTTTGTTTCTACCGTTTACACTGTACGGTATCAATACATGAAGTAATATATCCTTGAGTGTAAAATGCTGAATAGACATCTCACAGGTTTCTTGTTTATTCCGGGTCTATTCCGAATATGGTTTGTTTGTTCGTTTGTTAGTTTAAGCTGGGTGAGGCTCTACATAGCCGCCGTCTGGCACCCTATACATTAAGAAGCGCTCCGCCACGAGAGGCGAACGGCCAAGGTCATGAGGCGCACCCCTAACATCGCCACGCTAGTCTGCAATATTCCTTTTGGCCTCTTATTCCATTGATGGCGGGTCTGCGCTGAGGTATGATAGTAAACAAATCCACAATTTAACTCGCCCGGGCTTATCCCATACAGCTCAACAACGATTACAAAGAAGGAAAATAGTTTCCGTTCGGTCTCTTAGAATCTTTCTGTCGGTCCGTATTTCTATACTAATCCATCATACACTAGTCCTCAAACATAATACAACTGGGATTTACAGCTAAAAAAAGGCATCTCCATGACTCTTACAGCCTCGTGCAAACGGAATGAGTTGCGCCCGAACTCCGTCGGACTAATGTCACATCCGTTCAAGCCTGAGCTTATGTACATGACTCATTCAATAATCGAGAATCCCATTCACTCATGATATCTAACATGGGTTTCAATGAGCCTGGGAACCCAATTTTTCGAGATTCTTATATACATTGGCAAGAGACAGTAACCGACTCCCTAGTAGATTAATCAATAAACAGTCCACCGGAGGCAATGATATGTGCGCCATTGATCCACCGCGCTCTCTCTTCACACAAGAATCCAACCGCATACGCGATCTCATCCGGCTGTCCCATCCGGGGTCCCACAGGTGTTTGGTCGATGATCGGCTGGAGGATTTTCATTTGCTCATCACCAGCCGCAGCAAATCCCTCCGTCCGCGTCGGTCCGGGGCTTACTGCATTTACCGTACATCCGTATTTCGGAGGCAATTCTTTCGCCCTGTATTATTTATCAACAATATGTCCTTGATGAATCGGGCACGGGGAAATATCAGTCCGTAGCTTACCAACACTTTGTGAACGAGTCAACCATCCCCTTCGTCCCGGCATATATCGTCTGATTGGGCGGCGGACCCCGAGCAGAGATACTAGCAATATTCACGATCCGCCCACTTCCTTTCGTGAGATGAGGCAGTGCAGCCTTGGTAAGGAGGAATGTGCCCCGGCCATTGATGTTGACCAGAAGATCCCAGTCTTCCAGCGTTTGTTCTTCCAGGGGCTTGTTGACGGCCAATGCAACACAGTTGACGATGATATCGAGACGTCCCCATTTATTTACTGCGGAGTCGACCAATTTCTGCGCAGACTCGACTTGAGACATATCTGCTTCAACGGTAATTGCGGATGATGGTGATTGTAGCGATGAAATCACCTCGTCGGCTTCGGCTTGTAGATCGGGGAATGGGTAGTTTACGACGGTATGGGCGCCGCGTGATGAGAGCTCTCGTACGATTGCTGCGCCTATTCCTGAAGAGGAGCCGCTGACGATGGCTACTTTGCCGGCGAGAGTTTGTTCTGGCATTTTGGACGATCAGATACTTAGGGAGGGTGAGTTGACTGAGTGATAGCTGAACTGTTGAGAGCCGAGCTAATTAGGAAACCCTTTTCTTCGATAATGTAAAAGTCTTGCCTCTACTCTTTCTTGGAAATTACTTGGTCAAGAGCGTCGTACAGGATTCAACGAGTACTTTTCAATGGGACGAAGGACTCAAGTACTTTTGAGCGCCACATACTTTTCCCCGCGAAACATCTCCACATCCCGATATTTCCCCCGCATCAACACGCGTCTCCAACATGACACCAAATAACGCGGGCGACCATAAGCCACCAAGGCCAGAATTGCTCATACGGTAGGTGGACAATTTTGTCGGAACATTTTCTTTGGGGACAGTTTTTAGGATTCGACCTTTCGACGGGATCCTAGGGTCTGCTGAGGGGCCCGGACCTGGACTATTCAGTCTCCCTTTCCACCACCCACTAGGCCTACTTTCCGTTGGTCGCCTTCTGGGCCTGACGCTTTGGATTTTAATTTTTTTTTCTGAAAGCCATTTCAGAAGGGAATTCTATATGCAAAAAATGGTCCAGAAGTGCTGTTCCTTTTGTGTCGATCTTTGGTTGGGTTCGGAGGATACTTGGAGCTTGAGTTGGAAATTAGGTATCCGCGGTCCAGTAGAACCTAAGAAGTCGATATGACTCGGGAGCTCTTCGTCAATATATACGAAGACTTACATACAAGGAAACTTAAAGGCTAATCATTCTCTAGTATTTCCACGAAGCGCGATATGTAGTCGTTTGATTTAACATTATTCACATTCAGAGTCGTTCAATAACGTGTCCACCTCATGAGGTGATCCACGAAGTGATTAAGTATAAGTTATACCGCAAATCATTTATATGTCAGCCTTTAGTGCTTAACCTGGCGCCGGGCATGACGTCCAATGTGTCTCTTATCCTCGCAAGCTTTGTCCGTGGTCTGTTGGGAGCTTTCGGAGCTTTCAGTGGCCTCTTGGATCCGTTTGGTCATGTTAGAGAAGTCGGCAGCGGAAATTTCATCTGAGGCTTTAGTCCAGCCAAGCTCAAAGGGAAGTCGCTCGTTTTCTGCAAGATCCCGAAAGTCAGCCGATATACTACCAGACTTAATACAAAAGAATGGAGTTAGTCTTCCCAAGACTTACCGAAAAGGTACTCAACCCAAATCTTCTGGACAGTACCCGCTGCTTTGTCACCCATAACGACGATAGGGAAGATCGCCTCGCCGAAACTTGATGAAAGAATAGTCTCGGGGATGTCAAAGGTGGGGTTCATCGCTTTTGATGATTTGATGCGAGCTTGGCGAGCATTTGCTGCGGATTGAATATCAATAAGGGAGCCTTTCCAGTACGAGCGTGTTTCATCGAAGGCAGCCTTATTGAAGGTGTGATCGTTGCCAAAGTAGAAGTCCTGACGACTGTGAAGATAAGTCAGAATCATCCAACACGCGGGCCATTTGTTGGCTAGAACCTTGGAAAGGACCGTGGATCATTTGGCGAAAGTTCAACTTACCTCATGCTAGCATCGTGTTCCACGACATTGTGACGGGTCAGATCGCTCAATGAGAATGTAGTAGCATTCTTCTCTGGGTTTGCAGAAACTCCGTTCTGGAAGAGAGCCGTGGCAAACTCCTTATCGATATTAAGAACATTTCCTAGCGCAGTAATCGTCTGTTCTTCAGAGATATCTTTGCCATCGTGGGGAAGATAACCATGGTTTGCCAAGGTGTTCAACATGGGGCATGGGGCCCGCGCTGAAGACAATCAGTTTCTCCTCGTATCCGCCGTTTAAATTGATCAAAACGCATACCGTCATTAGGACCAGCGGGTTTCCACGCAACAGGGGGGTGGTTGGCGGGGGGGCTCAGGGCAGAGGCCTTGGCTAGAACGACAGTCGCTGCGAAAAACAATTGCAATTTCATCGTGAAGGAATGACACGGGTTGGAACGAAAAATCAAAGGCAAAAACGGACTGGAATAGAGAATTGAATCAATGCTTTGGTTTATAAAACTACAAAAAGCGAGTGTGGGAAAACCCACTATGATCCCAACTAATTGTCAGCATTGAAATTCCCACAGAGAGAGCGGAGCTAGCTGGGAGCCGGCTTGCAGATCGCAATATCGGATGGAGCCAAATCAAGGCAAACTAGACCGTTTACATGCCTTAGCCTGAACTAGTTTCGATAAACCTGTCTCAAATTTGAGCATCAACGAACCTTAACCCTGAATAGGAACCACCAAGGCACCACAAATTGGCCCGTGTAAATCGAGAGCCCTTTTATCGCAATTTTTCGCCCTCTGATAACTGCAAAATAACCAGAATGATTGGTCGGTCGGTATTCACGGGTGGAGATAGTGTTCAAGACCGAGACCAAGGGAAAGGCACCGGAATACAGCCGGCAGATCGTGCCTTTCATCGTACCCACGCGGGTGCGCCCGGTCGTGATGCAAATCTGCAGCATAAATCCATTCTTCTGTATAACTTCACATAAGTCTACATCCTCGTGGTCTGAAGATGTATTTATAATATTTATCTTTTAATTCTCCTCTCTGCGGTGATAATGGACCATATTATTTCTTCCATGCTACGATGCTAGTAAATCGAGTAGCGACCTATACTTCAATAGTTTGTCCAGAATTGGAAGTCAAAGAAGCGTGATGGGGTGAAGGATATCTTTGTCCTTTTACCCCTGAAGAAATATCCACGTACATAAATTTTTCTTATCCCGAGGTCGTCCATATGGAACGAGGACTCTCCAATCCTTCAACGAGAAGATCGTTAAGTACTTCTAATCCGTAAACTTAATCTATCAACATCTAGAGCGCTCTGGCTAACATCTGGAAATAGTTGGGTATGACGATCTACCCTTTTTTGCTAAAAAAAAAAAGGAACCACGACCCGGATTTGTTAGTCGGTCGCCAACCCATTGAACCGTGGGGCTGGCCCTGCCAGGATATTATGGTACCGGGGACGCGATCGTGGGTCGTGGCTTCGTGGGTCGTTGTTTTCCGGCGCGGCGGGCCGCGACTGGGTAACCATGTTTCTTGAATATGTGAACCAGAACAATTTACAAGGTGAATTGCTAATGCATTGGAACTAGGTGTAGTGTCATGCAAGCCCTTTTTCGGAATGAGAAGAAAGAAATGCAGCTGATCGCTTCTCAATCGGTTGAAAAAAGGACCAAAGTGGAATGACGAGAGAATCTATTGCCGCCTGCGAGCTTGTGGACCAGAACCCCATCCCGATCCGTATTCTCAAAAAAATTTTGGACTGCATACCAGTTATATTGGGAATCTGAAGCCAGATCCAACTCCCTGTGCTAATTTTACCCACTGT